CAAATTACCAAAAAATTATTTTATAGAACTAGAACAAATAATAATTCATCTGGAAGAACAAAAGGTCAAGGATATCAAGGGAAAAAATGAAAAAAAAAAAAAGGTAAAGAGATGTAACCTGGCGATACCAGATCTCAAAAAGTATTATAAAGTGGTAATTATCAAAACAATCTGATGGGGCAGCTAGGTGGCGCAGTGTATAGAACACTGGCCTTGGAGTCAGGAGGACCTGAGTTCAAATCCTGCCTCAGACACATAACACTCACTAGTGTGTGACTCTGGGCAAGTCACTTAACCCCATTGCCTAGCCAAAAAAAACCCAAACAAAACAATCTGGTACTAGCTAAGAAATAAGAGTGATGGATCAGTGGAATTGATTAGGTACACAATACATTATAATATATGATCATAGTAATCTAGTATATGATAAACCCAAAGATCTAAGCTTTTGGAACAAAAACTCATTATTTGACAAAAACTGTTGGGAAACAGCTAGTAAGGGTCTGAGGCAGAAACTAGGTATAGACCACCATCTCATAGTATGCCAAGATAAAGTCAAAATAGATACGTGATTTATTTGAGCTATAAAGGATGATATGATAAATAAATTAGAGCATGGAATAGTTTACGTGTCAGATCTATGGATAATGGGGGGCAGCTAGGTGGCACAGTGAATAGAGCTCTGACCTTGGAGTCAGGAGGACTTGAGTTCAAATCCAGCCTCAGACACTTGATACTTACTAGCTGTGTGACCCTGGGCAAGTCACTTAACCCTGATCGCCTCACCAGAAAGCAAAAACAAACAAACAAAAAAAACCAGATCTATGAATAATGGAAGAATTTATGATCAAACAAGATTTAGAGAGCATTATGAAATATGAAATAGATAATTTTGATTTTATAAAATTAAAGAGTTTACACAAACAAAACCAATGCAACCAAAATTAGAAGGAAAGCAGAAAACTGGGGGAAAAATTTTGCAACAAGTATCTCTGATAAAGGCCTCATTTCTAAAATATACAGAGAACTGAGTCAAATTTATAAGAATATAAGCCATTCCCCAGTTGATAAATGGTCAAAGGATATAAACAGTCAGTTTTTAGACAAAGAAATCAAAGCTATCTATACTCATGAAAAAAATGCTTTAAATAACTATTGATTAGAGAAATGCAAATTAAAACAATTCTGAGGTACCACCTCATACCTATCAGATTGGCTAATATGACAAAAAAGGGAAATAATAAATGTTGGAGGGGATGTGGGAAAACTGGGACACTAATACATTGTTAGTGGATTTGTGAACTGGTTAACCATTTTGGAGAGCAATTTGAAATTATGCCCAAAGGGCAATCAAACTATGACTACCCTTTGATCCAGCAATGCCACTGTTAGGTCTGTATCCCAAAGAGATTTTAAAAAGGGAGGGGAAGGACCTATATGTACAAAAATACTTACAGCAGCTCTTTTTGTGGTGGCTAAGAACTGGAAATTTAGGGGATCCTCATCAGTTGGGGAATGGCTGAACAAGCTGTAGTGTATGATTCTGATGGAATATTATTGTGCTATAAGAAATGACAAGCAGAATGATTTCAGAAAAACCTGGAAAGCCTTGCATGAAGTGAAGTGAGCAGAACGAGGAGAACATTGTACTCTGATCAACTATGAATGACTTGGCTGTTCTCAGCAATCCATTGATCTAAGACAATCTCAAAGGACTCATGATGAAACACGCTTTCTGTCTTCAGAGAAAGAACTGTTGTCCGAATACAGACTGAAGCGTGCTATTTTTCTCTTTCTTTGTTCGAGTCTTGTACAAAATTAATTATTTGGTAATGTTTTACATGATCGAACACGTATAACCTATATTGGATTGCTTACCCTCAGGGAGGAGAGAGAGCAGGGAGGGAGGGATAGAATTTGGAACTCAAAACTTAAAAAAAAAATGTTAAAAATTGTTTTAACATGTAACTAGGGAGAAATAAAATATTATTAAAAAAAAAAGAACAATCAACCATAATTCCAGAATAATGCTCCTCACCTCCTGACAGGCATTGGACTAAATGTGTAGAATGAGACACATTTTTGGATATGGCCAGTGTGAGAGATTTGTTTGCTTGACTCTGCACGTTTGTTATAAGGGTTTTGCTTTTCTTTTTTTTTTTCCCCTGATGAGGGAGGGACATGGGAGGGAGGGAAGATAAATGCTTAATTGAAAGTTAAATTAAAAATTATTTAAAAGTTGCTGTCCTTGTAGAAATTGTTGTCCTTGTTTTGCTTTCTTCATTCTGTGTCAGTTCATACTAAAGATTCTCTAAAATCTTCATAATTTCTTGCAGCATGATAGTTTTCTAACAATTTATATATACCACATTTTGTTAAAGATTACTCACTTGTTTAAAAGGCAATCTAAGACCATCTCCTGAAATTCTAGTTTTTGGTTTTCATTCTCATGTTCAGATATTCTGCTCTGGGGTAGTAGCCTCCTTCTCAACACCTCCTCTCTGCTAACCCGCCCCTCCCCCATTCCCTCTTGTTTACTGGTTGTGTTTGCTGTATTTCTACACCCATCTCTTTTTGCTTTTGCAAGTTCAGCCTTCTTTTGTTTCAGATTAGAGTCAAGTTCTTTTGATGCCTATTTTCCCTGCCTCCTCTCTTCTTGTTTGTATACCCTTCTTGTGCATCTGAATTTTGAGAAATAACAAATTTTACCCTCTTCTTCCTTTCTATACTTGGGTATTCTTTTTACCTTACCTTTCCTTTCTCCTCTTCACATCTTGAGAATAGACTGAATCTAGCCATAGAACCTCATTTTTTTTTCCTTATTCATCACTCTGTTAATACATTAAGGTTGTTCCTTTCCCTCTTAGAATGGCAGTATTACATTATCATATAGTTCCTTATTGCTCAAGTAACTTTTCTTTCTGTGTTTCTCTGGATTCTTAGGTTTTTTATGTTCAAAGTTCCTACTTAGCTTTGGTCTTTTCATCAGAACTCTCAAAGGTCTTCAGTTCCATTAAAAATCCTTCTTCCCCCTTACCCACCTTAGCACCATATTCAGGTTTGCAGGGCAGGTTCTTGGTTGTAATCCTTTCTCTTTTGCATTTTGCATTTTGTATTCAAAGATCTCATTTTTTATTGAAACTGCTAGGTTTTGTATAAACCTGAATATGGTCTGTTGATACTTGAACTGTTTTCTTTCTGAATGCTTGCAGTACTTTTTCTTTGATGTGGGAGCTCTGGATTTTGTCAGTGATGTTTCTGGGACTTCTCCTTTTGGGGAGACAGGTGCCAAGCGTTTATTAAGCTCTTACTAGTGTACAAATACAAGCCAAAAAGACAGTCCCTGATCTCAGGAAGCTTACATTCAGACACGGGAAGACAACACACAAAAGGAAGCTGTAAAAGGGGAGATGCCTTTGGGAGGATGGCGTTGAAGTCTGGAAAGTACAAAGCAGAGCATCCGAACCAGGAGGAGAATGGAGGTTCTGAGGAGATCTCAGGGCTCTGGAGCTGAAGGAAGTTTCAGGATGAGGCATCTGAGCCATGGTGCTGAGGTGGATTCCTTATGTCATCACTTTGACTTCTGATTCCAATGGCTCTGGACAGTTTTCATTTATGATTTATTTAACTATGGTACCTGCTTCTCCACCCCCCAAATCATAGTTTTCAGGGAGTCCAATGATTGCTTCCTGAATCTCCTTGATCTAGACTAGTTTTTTATATCAGATTTTATAATATATTACATTTTCTCATTTTTGATTTTATATTAATATTTTTTGATATCCCATGGAGTTAGGGATGTCCATTTGGTCTATTTTAGGTTTCAGTGGGTCCGTTTCTTGGGGTACTTTCTCTTCTAAGCTATTTATTCTTCCAATTTTTTTCCCTGAGAGCTTTTATTTCATTTTTATATCTTCTTTTCTCTTAGGTGGTCCTTATAGAAAATCCATTTTTTTCTTTGATTCATCATTGCTTACAGCTGTTACTCTCCTTTTTGGGGATCTCTGGATTTGTAATAATTTTTGATACTGGTTGGTGTTTTATTTTCTCATCTGTCCAACTTTAGTTCCTGAACTGGGGCTTTGTGCTAGTTCTAGTCTGTACTTTCTGTTGTTCTACTGAGCGGAATTGTTGGTCTTGCTTTGAGATCCCTGCAGTCTTGTACTGATTTCCTCCTATGGGTTAGGCCATAGGAGTGTTGGAAGTTAAGGTCCCTCATTGTTGTCTCAGGACACAACGTTGGGAACTTCAGAGTCCCTGGCTTGGTAGGTGTTTGTGAGGTTTTCACCCTTAGTGGCGCATTTTCAGAGTTCTCAGGAGCCCTGGCTGTCTTTAGTTGTGCTGGAAGGCTTTGGTGCTGGAGAGGCCCCTCTTTCCTATTTCCCTTGGGCTTCTGGCTGATTGGCTGATCTCCAGGGTGGAAGAAGTCACTTAGAATAGTTTCTCATTGGATTTTTTCTTTTTCATTATTTCATTTCTTTTTCATCATTCAAATTTCATTTTTTTTTTCATTTTCAGATGCCTAGTAAATGCCTAGTAGATTTCAACACAAACCTTCATCCCAATGTTCATACTAACATCACTCTAAAATCCTGCTGTGATGGCATATTTACCCTCATTCTCATTAGATTATTCAGTATTCTGGTGTGAATTTCATGTTTTGTTGTGAGCCTCTGATTGGCAGCTGCTGAAGAACTCTTTTAATTTCAAATGCTCTAGAAATAGAATTGAATTGTTACTTGATAAGTGACCCTTAGGAGATTTTATTTTTTTCTCTCTATATAAACTACCTCATTGCTTTTGAGGTTATTGTTACTAAATTATTTTCAATTTCTTTGTTGATAATAGTGGAAAAACTGGGACAAGTTAACTCATCCTCAGTTCTAGAAATTTTTTCGTTAGTCCCTCTTCCCAGTGTGCAACAACATTTCCATGGATAATATGTGGAGCACCTTCTCTGCTTCCTATCTATGTGTGTGTAAACTTGTCTTCTATTTCAGAACAGACACAGGAGAGCATCCAGCGCTTTGAACAGCAGGCAGGATTGACAGACGCAGGATACACTCCCCATAAAGGTCTCACCACAGAAGAAACCAATTACCACCGTGTGGCAGAGGCAGTCCATGTGAGTACCTAACAGCTTAAATGATTTAAAAAATGTCACTTGCCAGGAATTGTCTTCCTTTGTCTCCACCTCCTGGTGTCCCTCAAGTCCCACCTAAAATCCCACCTCCTACAAGAAGCCTTTCCCTATCCCCCTTAGTGGTTAGTGTGCTTTCACTCAGTAATTATTTTCAGTTTTTTCTATATAGATTTGTTTGTACATAGTTGTTTGCTGTCTTGCTCATTAGACTGTTTAACATTAAAAAAATACAGTACATAATTTCACATAGCAAAAGCTCTCATTTTTAGACTGTTTTAGTTTTTGACTCACCACCACCTTGTGAGGAAGGAGGTGAAAAATCATTCCCATCTTATGTAATATAGTTTTCCAGCATTTATTCTGCAGAATGCAGATTGACTTGACATCAATAGGGGATCTTCATTTTGTTATACTTCTCTTTCAGGCCAAATTTGTTGAAGTGCCAGTTTGTTTGAAGTGTCTGTTGCCACTTTCTCATCTCTAAGTCCCACCTAAAATCCCACCTCCTACAAGAATCCTTTCCCACTCCCCCTTAGTGGTAGTGTGCTTTCACTCAGTAATTATTTTCAGTTTTTCCTGTATAGATCTTGTTTGTACATAGTTGTTTGATGTTGTCTCCCTTGTTAGATTGTGAGCTCCTTGAGAGGGGGACTGTTTTTTGCCTTTCTATGTATCTCCAGTGCTTAGCACAGTGCCTGGGACGTAGTAGACACTTAATAAATGCTTATTGAAAAGAGGGAGAGCCAAGATGGCAGAATAGCAGGAAGAAGTGGAGCCAGCTTTTTTCCTCTCTAACTCTTCCACCACAGGTATCTAGAATTAGTACTGATTGGTAAATACAAGAAAAAACCTCGCAGTGAATAATTCCCACTTAGATTGGCATAGGTACACAGAGGAGGGGGTAGTATGGACACTATGAGTGGGTTCTATCCCAGAATGGCCTTGTGAAGCATTCTCAAAAAGGTATTGAAAAAGGCCTGAGGCTGTGCACCAAGGCAAGCAAAGGTCCTGGAGCCACACAGAGGATGGCCTGACTTTGTGCAGGGTGCAGAAATAGAGTACCAGTTGGCAGCTTTGTCACTCACTTAGCCAGTTCTGAGTCACGGATTGGGGGTAGACTGAAGGAGAACCTGTGCCTAGGGTTGAAGTGCCAGAGTGACAAGTGGTCATGGCCGCTAGGCCGTGAACAGATCAAGAAGGAAACTCAGAAGCAAGCTAGAGCTGTGTGTCTCTGACCCTTGGAATAGAGCTGGGTCTCATTTCTGGCCTCCAGCCTAGTTTGAAACCTGCATCTGAATAAAGAGAGCAGAAATCCCTAACCAAAGGGAGCTTGCAGTTCTCTCATTCCAAACCAGCAGAGTTTTTCAGTGGGTTGATAGAGGCCAAGTTCAGCAATCTGCTGGAACTCCAACCTGTGGCAGTGGCAAAGCCACAGCTATGTTCTTCCGACCCAAACCCAGATGACAAACTTACGGAGCTCAGCCCAGAAGGTGAGTGATCAGACTGCTTTGGATCACACTACTTTGGGAGCACTGTAAGATTGTATGTCCTAGCCTGACCTGTTCCTAAGAGCCTGAAGAACATTTATATATTCATTACTCCAAGCAAGACCCAAGACCATTTATTCTTTGACTGAATGTTAATTGTTTTTACATGTAATTAGGGGAAAAAGTAGATATATTAAAAAAAAAAGATTTAAAACAAAACAAAAGTGATTAGAGCCTAGCCGTAATGTAAACTCCAAAGTCAAGAATAAGGCTGGAAGAATGAACAAAAAAAAAAATCTCACCATAAAAAGCTGTTATGAAGACAGATGCTCGAGACACAAATCTAGAAGAGGATGACTCCAGGTATCTACAAGAAAACCCGCAAAAGAACAACACAATTTACAAGTTCAACTAGAATTCCTGGAATAAATGAAGGAAGAGTATAAAAAAGAGATAGAAAATGTTTTTATAAATGAAACGAGAATTCTAGAGTGAAAAAAAATGATGGCATATGAATGTAGTGTAATAATATTTTGCTGTAAGAAATGATGAAGAGTACTATTTCAGCAAAACTTGAGAAGAACTAATGCAGAATGAAGTGACCAGAATCAGAGAACATTTTGTATATTAACAACAATATTATAAAGACAATTCAGAATTAGGGATTCTGTTCAACACGATGACCAATCATTGCAGAGGACTCCTGATGAAACTATGCCACCCACCTCCTGACAGGTAACGGACTTAATGCAATTTGAGACATTTTTCTTTTTGGGTATGACCAGTGTGGGAATTTAATTTGCTTGACTATGTTCTTTTCTTTTTTCTTTCTTTCTCAGTGGGGGTGGGAGAAGGGAGTTAATAGTTGATTTAAAAAATAATAATTAAAAAATAACAAATGCTTGTTGATTGTCTAATGCATTACACGGTTTCCTTTAGATCTCTTAAGAGATCTGAAAGATACCATTATGTGCTTAGACTTTATCTGTCTCATTATGCCTTTTTTAAACTTAACGTTTTCCCCTACTTATCAAGCATTTATTTTTTCTCTTTCCCACCTTCACCTTACTTACTGGTGGGAAAAATGATGACCTCCCTGCCATGAAAAAATGCACATAATCGTGCAAGACTGTATTAGCCATGTCCAAAAATGTTTATCTCCTTTCTGTGTATTTAGTCAATCTTCTCCCTGTCAGGACCACTTTTTCTTTTTGTCAGATGTCCTAGATGTTATTTATGGCATGTCTCAAGCACAAATATTATTGCTAGCATTGTTTTATCAGATTATGTTGAATTTTGTGTCTTTGAAGAGTATTGTGTATTCTGTGATTTACAATTATAAAGCATCATTAGGACAGTATTTATGTTAAAGAGATCCTTTTGTGGTAGGAAGCAACTTGTACTTATTTAAAGGTTTTTATTAAGGGATATCTAGCCCATTCTTTTGTTATAAGTTTATCTGTAGGACACATGTGCATGAGCACACACACACGTATACATGTACATACACATGTCTATCTATGTATCTCTTCATCTATCCATCCATCGGTCCACTAGTGAATTGGTCATCCCATTGCATGTCAGTCTAGGCAATTTACAAAGCATTTTTTACTATGTGGATTGCTAGACTTATCTATTGAGTGAGGATGGATCTTGTTGAGACATTGTAACAGTTTATATGGAATACTTCTTTTTGGACTTTGTGCAGGATATCTTCATCCTCCATGACAGTGGTGCCCACCTTCAATGAACATTTATTTTCCTGTTTTATAACTTGACTGGGTACAGAGGATCATTAAGCAAAACTATGTCAGATTGCAGTCATCATGGAATCTTATGTAATACACATTTTTCAGTGCACAGGAGACCTGTGGTGGGAAATCAAATGGCTATGTGCTATGCTACTTCTAAACCAACTCATTTTTCTGATTCACAGCTGGTACTCTTTGGGCACTTGTTGAAGTTATGGCTTTAGCAGCTTTTTTAAAAATTTGTGATGTCGTTGGTATAGGGAAGCTCCTCCTACTAGTGCAGTTCATTCAGTTCTGTCTAGTTCCTTAAGTGACTGGTTACTCAGCCAGTATATGTCAGAGGTGGAACAGGAACCAACGTCTTTTTTGGCTTCGAGGACAGCTTTGTATCCATTATGACAAGTTGCCTTTTTATAACATTACTTGGTGCTTTAGTTCTTACTCGTAGGGCTGGGTGAGCTGGCATCTTGGCATGCCATTAAATATTTCGCTCCTGTGACCTTTGTCCTAGCTTAGTTGTTATGTCCACTTACTTCCCTCCTCGTGAGTAGTACTTTGTTCCCTGCAGTTACCTTTTTATAGTTGTGTAACCTCTTTATCATACAGTAATAATTACATTTAATTTTTTCTAGGAGCAAAGGGTTATTTTTTTAATCATGAGATCACCTAAAGTAGCATTTTGTGCTTATAATGCATAGGGTCTAGAACTGGATGGGACCTTGGAGATGACATAGCCCAACTTCCTTATTTTACACATAAGAAAACGGAGATCCAAAGAGGCTGTGGAGCTGGCTTAAAGTTACATGTATAGTAAGCAGAGCCAGAATCTGAACATAGCTGCTTGAACTCCAAATCCAGTGAATTAGAAATTGATGCCTTTGCTGAATTTTATTATATTCATTTCTGAATATATCCACTGAGCCTTCCCCTTTTTCCCCTTTAACAAATTTTTTTTTCTTTTGCTTTTTGGTGAGGCAATTGGGGCTAAGTGACATGCCCAGGGTCACACAGCTAGTAAGTGTCAAGTGTCTGAGGCTGGATTTGAACTCAGGTCCTCCTGACTCCAAGGCCAGAGCTCTATCCACTGCACCAGCTAGCTTCCCCTTAACAAATATTTTTTTTTAAATTAGGCTACGTATCAACTACTTTGACAGTACAAACAGTATTCTGTACCCCCAATGAAGGGAGTGCTGTGTATTCTTAGCTCTTCCCTGGGTTCAGGATTGGTCATTCCTGTTTATGTTATTGTAGTCACTGTGTATATTGTTTTCTGTTCTGATTTATTCTGTGTGAGTTCCATTCCATTAGTTCATACAACTTTTTGTGTTTCTCTGAATTCTTTATATTCATTGTTTCTTATGTTTCCATTAGAATAAATCGGGTGCGTATACTGTAAATGGTAGTCTCTTTTTATTCCTTTTTATCTATTGTGACTGGTCATAAGAAGAATTTTGATTTGTGTTTTCTTATTCTGAGAAACTAAACACATGCTTAGGGGTAAAACCTCTATCATTCAGCCACATTAGTGTATGTAAACGAATCAGTCAGGAAGCCTTAATCTTTGGGGAACACGTAATAGTAACACTCAGTTTTCTAGGTTGTAGAACAGTTTATGAAAAATAACCCTGCGAAGCAGGTCATACAGATGTTATCCTTATCTTTGAGGAAACTGAAAGCGATTTGCCTGAATTCAAACAAATTATAAACAAGAATTCATTCCAGGATTTGTGACTTCAAGTCCAGGACTCTTTCTAATGTACCACATTGCTCTTAATAAATGTTCTCAGGAAGTGCTTTTCAAGAATTTTCAAGAGTTCTTTTCACATGGGCTTAGGTGTATTTTCTTTCTTTTTCAAATACTTTGCTGTCTAGAAGTATACATTTTTACTTTACTCCTAAATTGTGATATGTAGCCTCCATTCTTGGTTACCATCCCTCTCCCCACCTTGGACACTTTATCTGGTTCTGTTCAAGTTCATTGGGCACTTTGCTCCCATATACTTGTCTTCATTCTTAGGATATCTTTGTTGCATTTAGCAATGTCAAGTATTGTTCTGTTTTGAACAGCTTCCTGTCTTGATCACACCTTTCACCTCCCTACTTCACCTATTTCAGCAAACTATGTGTACACAGTTGTACAGTAGAGAAACTTGCTATTTGCTTCCAGACTTCAGATAATTCCTTCTGTGGTAGTACCAGTCGTTTATTTTATAGATTTAAAACGTAACATTTTTTGTTCTTTAATGTTGTAACATTGCCTTTGCAAAAAATGACTTAGATGCCTCCTAAAGATTGGATTAATTGATTGGCATATGTAATGACAACCCTAATTTCTGTAGTATTTTAAGACTTTTAAAATGTTTATTTTAAATAAAATTTTAAAAATTACTGATATCTTTTGTTTTATATTGCATTTCCCATTGTATTGCTCCACATTCTCCTCCCAGATGGGTCATATAACCAGTTTTTTTTTTTTTTTTTTTTAAAGAAAACAGCCTGAGAAGATACCCCTTCTTCACTTCTCTTTTAGAGGAAGAAAGAAAAAGAGGACAAGAAGTCATCCCTGCTTCGTTCCTTTGCAAAGGATGTGGAACATTACATATATTTTCAGGCATTTTCAGTGTATTAATTGTTTTTTTCTGATGTTTCCTCCCTCTTCTTCCTCTTTTTTTTCCCTTTAAAAAATAATTATTTTTTATGAGATGGCTCTGAGACAGGAAGAGGAGGGATGCTAGGGAAAATTCTGGTGATGTTAAGATATCAAGAAAAACTTATTTTAAAAAGAGGAAGAAAAAAATCAGCAAAACTGATCAATACATTGAAAAAAAAATCTTAACAATATATGTGGTGTTCAACGCCCAAGGACATGCCTCTTTGCAAAGGAGTGAAGAGAGACGTCTTCTCATTGGCTCTTCTTTGGGGTCACTCTTGTTCTTTTTAGTTTTGCGACATTCATTTTGATTTGAGGTCATTCTTTCAATTAATTGGAATTATTGGTGTTGGTATTGGTCGTGTACATAGTTTGCTTGGCTCTGCTTACTTCATTTTGTATCACTTCATTACAAATCAATTCTTTACAAAAACTTGGAAGAAGATGACGCAAGCCTTAAGATCTCTATTTTATGGATAAGTAGAGGCTCAGAGAGGCAGAATATGTAGCATAAAACACACTTCATTTGGAGTCAGCCCTGCTGCTCCTCATTGCCTGTGTGACTCTGGGCAAGTCATTTAATGTCTCATAGCCTTAGTTTCTCATCTGTTTAGAGAAGGGAGTTTGATTGAAAGACCTCTGAGCTCTCTTTCAGCTCTGAATCTTAGGGTTCTGTGGAGGGGAAATGATCTGCCCAGAGTTGTACAGTAAATGGCAGAGCTGGGTTTGAAACTCGGGTTCTTTGACTTGCATTCCAGTGCTCTTTCCCTTGCTTCATCAACTTCAAGATGAGTAGGGTGGGGAGTAAACAAAGAGAGTTGTGTTTTATTCCAGACCATAATTCCCCATGTGGACTTGAACCAAGGTATGAGCTTATACTTCTTTAATAAGCATATAAGTAGGTACGAATTCTTTCACAGACTTGTTTTTTTTCCTCTTTCAAGTAGAAATTGAAGTTACAAAATGGAGAAATGACAAAAGAAGATAGACTGACTGCTTCAACCCAGTCTTCTCCAAGTGGTACACCCCATTCTTCTCCCAAGCAAAAGCCTAGGTATGCTGATTCCCCAGGATCTCTTCCTATAAAACTGTCACCAAAGCTTTCAGAACTAGGGTTAGCCTCATTTTGGACTCTTACGAGCTTGCTGTAATCAATAATGTCTATTTATATAGCACTTTGAGATTTATAAAACACTTTACTTGTATTATCTCATTGGACCTTCACAATAACTTTGTGAAGCAGGTGCTTTTATTCTACTCTAGAGATGAAGAAATCGAGGCTACGTGGTTAAGTTTGGTACTGGTAAGTTTGTACTAGCTTTATTTATAAATTTATACTCAGGTCTTCCTGACTACTGTGAGTCTAGCACTCTATCCATTATGCCATCTAGCTGACAGCTAAATCTTCCTCATTTGATGGTAGGTCATGTTTTCTGAACTTAGCATTGGTGTTACATTTTACTCATATACTCCTATATGGTTTCCAAGTGAATAGATAACATTTGGAACTGGAGATGTGCAGCATTATGATAAAAAATGTGTGTATAGGCATACCTTACTTAAGGTTTTAATTAGATCTTTTGAAAAACCAGTGTGAGGTAGATTATTATGAGGGGAATTAGTGCCATAGGAATACCATAATGAAATTATGCTTAACTTCTGGTGGGGTTTGGTTATATATTGATCATGTGTCTTATGATACTTCGTGTGTACCTTGGTTGACCATATATGCCAAAAATGCATAAGCTTTTTGTTAGGGCTTACCACGTTGGGAGGACCTGAATGGAATGTAATGCCTGTTGTATTCTAGTTAACTCAGGGGAGGCTCATTACCTGATGATTTCTTGCACGAGAAGGGTCTTAGAAGAATGGGGGTACCTATGATTGAAAGGTGTCAGTGAGCCATGATTTCTGTATTCCAGTTCTTCACTTGGAAGTTTCTGATCATTAGAGGATATACTTAAGGTATGTTTTTAGAGGTTTTTATGTGGTGATTCTTTTGTGCCTTATAGTCTTTGCTTGTGACTTTTCCTTCTAGAGGCTGGTTTACTCATGGATCATCTACTTCCTTACCTGGCCTAGATATCAGCAGCATGGACTCTGGAAATGGAGATAGAGACAAATCCTCATCTGAAAAATGGAGCCTTTTTGGACCAAGACCAAGAACACTTCAGAAATCCGACTCGGGTATTGTGTTGAAGGGGTCATTTTTAAGAGCTTTTCTGAGATAAGAAAGAGGAAAACTACATAGCTAAGAGGGATTGTGCTGTCTTTCTGGATGGTTTCCATTCCAGCCCTGCTGAAAGTCCTTTATTAGCAGTAACATTAAGTAACTTTATGTACAGTGTCTTATGTGATTGCTTAAGACCAAAGGGCCATAGAATTAAGCACTGGAAGGAAATCTTAGAGATGATGTAACTAGGGGTGGGGAAGCTGGGGTCTTGAAACCACATGTGGCCCTCCAGGTCTTCAAATTCGCTTCGTGGACTGATTCCAAACTTCACAGAACAAATCCCCTTAATAAAAGGATTTGTTCTATGAAGTTTGGATTCAGTCAGAGGGCCGTACTTGAGGACCTAGAGGGCCACATGTTCCCCACCCGATTCTAAATCTTGTCATTTTTATGTATCAAGAAACTGAGGTTGGTAGTGTCACTTGTCCAAGATTGCATAGGTCAATAGTAGCAGAGCTGGGATTCACTGAGATTTCCTAATCCAGTGCCTTTTCTGCTGCACTAAACTGCCTCTTAACAAAATGCTTCTGGAACACCAAAGTGTTGAAGCAGATCTCTTTGCTTACCAATATAGCTAAACACACTTAAACTTCAGGTTCTAAGGATTTTGGATTGTTTAAAGTCCAGTCTGAGAAGGTTTGGATGGATGAGGGGGTGAGGTATGGGGGATGGAGGTGAAAGTTTGTTGTGAAGCAATAAAGTTTGTGAAAAGGGAAGGGAGCAAGCATTTATGTAGTGCTAACTTTGTGCCAGGCACTATGCTAAGCACTTTACAAATATTGTCTTATTTGATCCTCACAACAACCCTGAGAGGTGAGTGTCATAATCTCTATTTCATGGTTGAGGAAACTGAGGCAGATAGAAGTTAAGTGACTTGCGTAGAGTCACACAGCTGGTAAGTGTCTGAGGTCATATTTGAACTCAGATCTTTCTGATTCTGGGCCCAGCACTCTTACCTACCTTGTCACCAGCTACCTAGAAATCCTAGGATATTAACTGTTAATGCTTATGAAAGGCAATTTGATAAAAAGTAAAAAATAAAATAATTTTCTTTAGGGTTTTAAGTTTTTACAGCATGATTTGTTCAGTGCTATAATGTATCAGTATAGTGTTCCCATTTTATAGTTGGGAAAATGGAGACCCAAAGGTAAAATGTCTTACCCCACAGTCACAAAGCTAGTATTAGTCAAGACTTCAACTTGGAGCTCCTGACTCCCAAGGACAGTGCTCTTTGCACTAACCAGTATCGTGGCATAGGAAAGAATATATACCACTTAGTTGTAACCTTGGGCAGGTCGTTCCTTGCTCTGAGCCCTTGGTTCATCTGTCAAATGGGGAATTTCCTTCTTTCTCCATCCCCCACCCCCCACTCCCCATTACAGGGTTGGGTGTAGGGGTTGTGTATGTATCCTTTAACAAATGGGGAATAAGTGTCACTTAGTCATAAAGGAACACTGCGGAGGGAAAAAGAGACCACTTCCCTTATGCTAGTACTTTACTCTGTTGTATCGTTTCTCCCTCGCAAAAGCACTTGTCCCCTTAGTTCTGAGGTGATGGGGAGTCACCATGCTGTATGAATGATCACCAAGGACCCTTTCAACTCTAAGCTCCTATGACACTTTCTAAGATGGTTTCTGAATTAGTTTTCTAAATTAAGCTTGTGACTGTGTATATAGCTTTAATTGTGACCTACCCCAAGTTGTTTTTGTTCTAGGCATCCAGCCTTAGAAATGGAAATAATCTGTCTTCTGTGGCTTTACTTACTTCACTCAGGTTTCAGTGTCCAGTCCTACAAAGGTATGCAGAAGCCATCACCAATGGAGATCATTCGGGTTCAGGCTACTAGAATTGCAGAAGACCCAGCAGCATTCAAGCCACCTAAGATGGACCTTTCCATGATGGAAGGAAAGAAACAACCTCCACGAACTCATAACATCAAACCAAGGGACATGAATGTGTTGACTCCTACAGGGTTCTAAAGCTCCCTTTTCATAAGAGCAAAGTTGCTTTCCCTGGTGAACCCCTGTTATGTAGAGAGAGTATCTTAGACTTTTCTTTCTTCCCATCCACCTTGCACTTGACATAGGAACGATGTCATCCATTTACAATTCTGCTGAGGATAACATTCCTGGGGAAGTAGTGATTGTTTCTTTAAATACTTGTAGCAAAGCTTGAATCTTTCTAATGCAGAAAGACCTATTCTATAATGTCCCAAAGTTGGTCTGAATAACTTCTCAAAGTACATTCGATCACAGCCAGTTACTGATCTATAGAACTAGATTGCAGGGGACGAGGAAAATAATTAAAATCTAATAGACTTTGTTCTGCATATTTTATCCAAGATAAATATTTGTTTGGTGCTTCTTTTCTTTGATAAAGAACATTCCTATTTTCTATCTTAGTTGCTGGAGTTAACAGCTTCTTCTTAGAGAACACTGCTCCTCTGGAATCAAGGCACTGGTTCAGGTGCCCTGTTTCCTGGTTCCTTCCTGGCCAAGAATAGAGAGAGGCAGTAGCCTAACAGGAAAAGTCCTTTGGAAGTGGAGATTGCTGCTGTCTTGTGACACTTATGAAAAAGATATTTAAAAGGTATTATTAGTCCTTTGGTTAAGGGCTTGAAGCAGAAGATTTGGTCTGCTCTGCCCTACCAGTGGATTTTTATTTTTGGAAAGACTGAATGCTGAGGATTGTGGTTTGTCACTGCCTCCAGTACATAAAAAAGTGGTCCGTGTTCACGTTAGCAATAGGTAGTGCACTAAGTTCATAAAGATTAATAACTGATTCTGTGCAATGTTTTGTGCTGTAGAGGAACTGCTGAAATAACTTATTTTTTAAAAACTTGAAAACTCAAGGAAGCTCAGCATAATCTTCAGTGATCTGAGGTAAATCATCCTGTGACTTCCACTCCCCAAATATTGGCCTGAATCCTTTCTTACTAGAAAAGGATAAGCTGCTGGGAGAAATAAAAGCTTTTCTCTTTGGGAACTTAAAACAAAACTGAACCATCCCTTTATTCTCCCCTCCCACCAACAGATGATTGAAATAATTTTATTACCCTTTAACATCGCTGAGGTCTCGTTCTCGGAAGCCTGTTTCATCTCCTACTTCCTGGTTTTGTTTTGTGGAGTGCTCCCTAAAATGCTGTTTCTGAGAAACACAGTACCCAAGAAGGCTTGGGCCCTTGTATTTCATGTGTCTGTACTATTCATTCCTTTTTAATGTGTTGACCTTGATTTCAGAATAAAATTCTCTGGATTGTAGGTTTTTGAAAGGGGAAAAAAATAGAAGCAATAGGGGAAGATAGTGATCCTGTAATTCACAATTTCCTTGTACCAGATAGTGGGGAACATAGGATTTCTATCTGGAGGACCTTAAATTTGATCTAGCCCCATCTCATTTAAGAAATAATTTGCCCATAGTCCTGGGAATTGAGGCTTGGAGATGGACTGCTATATACGTTAAAGGGAGCATCTAGGTGTGAAGAACACCTCGATCAGTGACCTAGCTGAGTCTGAAGAAGCTGGGAGCAATTCATGTGGTCACTTGGAGCATGGAAAAATATGGAAGCTATACAGATAGAACTATACCATGGATCCCAGAAGTACAGGGGGTTGGAACCTAGAAGTTGGTCACTCTGCTCCATGTGCCCAGGGAGGATCCTAGAAATTTTTGATACAATCCTTCAAAATCTTTATGATTTAATCTATTTTTTTCTGCCAATTTCCACCATAGTAGTTGGTCTTCATGAGATGTATTAAACTTCATGATTACATAGCTACTTGCCTTCAGATTGCAAAGTCCAATTATGAGGCCCAGACTTGAGTCCTTTTGCCCTAGGTAGGGCCTGGCCATTTATGTTCTAATTGCATAGCTTTTGAGAGCTCCACTGGGATTGGACAGATTCTCCAATGCCAGTCTAGAACTTTGCTCATCATACTATGCCTTTTCCTTTCTTGCAATCTTACGATGGTATAGGTTGTAAAGATCAAACGGTTTATTCAGGGGTTGTATAATTTAGAGTTACAAAGAACCTCAGGTCACCTCATGCATTCCACTCATCTTATGAGAGGAAATTGGCCTGGAGAGGGGAAATGGCTTGTTTGAAGTCATGGCTCTTTTCATGTCATCACCTTTCCCCCGATGAAGGAATAAAACCAGGGAGGTTTAAATTGGGATTTTCATTCCAAAGAAACCAACTCAAAGACCATACCTAGCAGGAAAAAAACTTTAGCATAGAAAGTTCTTTAAAAAAAAAATTCTACACGTGAGAAATAATTATAAAATAGATGTAATTTGTTACAAAACTGAACAGGATAGGTTGCGGTAACCTAACTGCTTTTCCTTTAAAAGCCACTAAGGTAACTAGTCACGTTGACTTGGGAAGGTGAGAGTTCTCAGCCATCGTCTTACTGGACCCTGTTTTCTGGCACAAAGTTACTGCTGGTTGCACAGAGAAGGAGTAGTTTGAGCAGGAACACTTTCTCCTGGAGCTGGGGTACTAGAGGCTCCCCAAGCTCTCGGGCTAGTCGGATTCGGAAAGCTGTAAACTCCATTTCCACATCCACTGAAGTGATATCATCCCCTTCCTGTAGATGAGGCCTAATTTTTTTGATAAGCAGATCCTTCCTTTCAATGACTGAAGTCCTCAAGTGCTCTGGAAAGAGAAATAATTCAGTGTCAGCTATCCAGGATATCAGAGATGTGAAATGTCTGTCCAGTATATAAACACTCTCTGATGGCCTTCAAATTTCTAAAATTTGGCCTAATCTTAAGTGATCATAAAAGAGGCTCGATCATTTGAGTTTTAAGGTACCACCTAACTCTAAATTCTGTGTACTTCTTTTAGAACTGGAAATAGCCTTAGAGATCACTGGGCAACACCTTTTTCTGAAATAAAAACCCAAGGCCCAGAATAATTTGCTGAAGGTAACAAAGAAATGGCCTCTTCCATTAGCTTATGGGGCTTGGTCTGGCCCAAGTTGTTTTTGGACCATCAGAAGTTAGGAGGGGGTACACAGAAGTTCTAACCAAAGTTTTTCATCTTCCTTCTCTTGAACTAATCAATTGTGGTGGTGGTGATGATGGGTTAGCATGCTTAGAACAAGCATCATGAAAGTGGTGGGACTTGAATAGACAAAGAGGAAACATTTCCAGGTGGGGAAAAGTTCATTCTTTCAACAAATAATTATTAAGCACATATTGTGTGTTTAAACTCACTAATGTGGCCCTTTAAGGTGCTTTCCTTATAACAATCCTGTGAAATACAAGTGTTCTCTTCATTTTACCTAAGGAAACTAAAGCTTAAAGGTAAAAGTGACTTCCCAATGTCACACAGTTAAAAAGTTTTAAAGCCAGGTCTTCTGGGTTTGTTTTTGTCTTTTTGGAGGCAATGGGGATTAAATGACTTGCCCAGGGTCACACAGCTCATAAGTGTCAAATGTCTGAGGCCAGATTTGAACTCAGGTCCTCCCGACTCCGGCCAGTGCTCTATCCACTGTGCCACCTAGCTGCCCTGAGTTCTGTTCTATACTTTGCTCTACATTGATCTTCCCATGGAGGCCAGCCTTGATAGAGTAGAGGAGTCACACTGGAGAGAAGGGACAAGTTCAACGGCAGGATTTGCTTAAACTGGTAGAGGTCTTGAGAGCAAGGCTAAAACTTGTAAAGGGGAGCCACAGGGTGTGGGGGGAGAGGATAAGGGACAGGCCTTGGCCGATTCACTTTGCTTTTTTGGTCCATTTCCTTATCTGCAAAATAGGAGTAGGAAGGAGGGAGGAAAGACTAGATGACCACTAAGATCCTTTTTAGTACTAAATCTATAATTCAAGCTCATATCCTTTGTATAACTTCTGAATGGTTCTTCGTTAATATGTGATGGAATCAGGGAATCTGATTTTAAAGAAAGCTCTGGTAGTACATATGTGACTTTGTGCAAACTTGTTCACTTTGGCAGCCCTTACCCTGATTCCCCTAGTTGGTAATAAAGCATGTTAGAGCTAGAAAGACTCTTAGAGAAGTTATATTTGACATCAAGGGGATAGGAACATAGTAATCTAATGAATATCTGCCTTTCAAAATAAAACTGTTATAGCCCAGTTTGTGAACTTGTGTAACTGTAGTACAACAAATTTTGAGGGAGATAACATCATCATTATAGCTAACAAACCTAACATGTTTAGTATGTGCCAGGCACTGTGCTAAATGCTTTTTAATTATCCTCTTATTTCGTCCTCACAACCACCCTAGGAGGTAGGGGCTACAATTATCCCCACTTTACAGATGAGGAAACTGAGGCAAACAGGTTGAGTTGTCCAGAGTCTGCTTCAATGCCTAGCTGCCTTTATGAGCCTCTGCACCTCCCACAATCCCTTCTATGTACAAAATGGGCTGCTTACCTGTTATCACGTGCTGGTAACTAGATAAGAGAAATTGTAGATGTTCAACCAGCTCATCCCAACTCTGCCACTGGCTTTTATCAGACTGAAGGAAATAATTAAGAACCATTAATCCCTTGTGATCATTCTGTGCTTCATATTTTTCAAAGTACTGAAAGTTTTAGGGGATTAAGGGGACAGAGTTGAGGGGTGGGTAGGAAACATGTGAAGAGCTACCATATGGAAGAGGAATTAGACTTGTCTTGATTGGTTCCAGAGTGCAGAACTAGAACCAGTGGTTAAAAGTTATAGGAATGCAAGCTGTGGCCCGATGGGAGAGAGACCTTTTTAACACTCAAGAGCTGTCCGACAGGCTGCCTAATAAATATAGTGAGAGCCTCATCACCGGACAACAATTGGGGCGTGTGGTACTGGGGATTCCTGCTTCAGGCAGGACTTAAATTCGATGACCTCTTAGGCAATATTCAAGCTAGCATCCACTGACCAGGCATCTGGAATGAGGTGTTGAAAAAAGTTAGAAGATCTACCTGATTCCTGAGCAGTGATGTTGAATGGTTGAGGAAATAGAGGGTCTGGGCAAGAGAGAGTGGTAGGGATGTAGGCTTTTCACAGCTGTGGAGGAATAGAACCTCGAGTACTTTGCAGCGCAAGAGGTGACTCTCCATTGTTGTAAAGAAGATTTCCCTGCAAAGGGGGATGGGGAGGAAAGGGGAAATAGAGGAGAAGAGGGTACAAGAAAGAGAGCAAGAGATTAAATCAAAAATGAAACCAAGTCACTAATACCCTGAAAATAGGGTAATGGCTAAGTTACCAGCCATCTTAACTCAATTCACAGGGATACCTTGATCTCAGAAGTGACTGAATTGTAAGCTTGGAGAGTGCAGGAATTGTCATCTTTCATCTGTGTATGTCTAACACCAAAATATAGGGTCCTCTGCACAGATGGCACTTAAATAGTGAATCGAGTGAAACTAATGTCAGCCAATAAATATTAGGCCCTATTTTAGTTCTAACACAACAGAGGAGATGGGTGACAGCGGGCATACCATGTTCTCTACCCTAGTTATATTGCATCTGGAGCACATGTGGAATGTCTAGAAATGGATGAATGATAAAAGGACTAGGGAATTATGTCCTGTGAGAATTGTTGAAGGAACTCAAATTATTCCTCCTCCAAACTTCCTTATTACTATCAAGGTCACCACCAGTTGCCTAAACTTGAAACCTCAGCTCCTCACACACTTCCCCCATATGTAATATAAGCCAAAGGTGGCTGATGGCTTCCTACATCTCTCTTTTGATATGGTGCCCTGGTGCAGGCCCTCATTGTCTCATGCCTGGATTACTGCAATAGCCTGCTGGTTAGTCTGCCTGTCACAAATCTCTCCCCACTCCAATCCACACAACTGGAAAGGTGATGTCCCTGAAAAGGTCTTATGTAAATCCCTATTTGGCATTCAATGCCCTTCACAACTCTATTTTTAGTCTTCTTACATCATGTATAAACTCTGAGACACAGTGACACTGACTTCCTTGCATCTCCTGACTCCTTGCCTGTCCCCTATGCCTAAAATATTCTTCCTCATCTCTGCCCCTTGGTTTCCTTCAAGTCTGAACTAAAATCCCACTTTCTCTACAGGACGCCGTTCCTGATCCTTCTAAATTCTAATGCCTTCCTTCTGTTGATTTTTTTCCCCCAATTTATCCTGTCTACATTTGTGTTTGTATCCAGTTGTCTGCATATCTCCTCCATTAAACTGTACCCTTATACCTTGTAGCCTTGAGGATACACTGGAAAGGACTAGTTCCCTACCAACTCTATTCATGGAGTGGGTCAGAAGTGGCATGTTGGAGTGGAAAGAATGTTGGACCCACAGTAAGGGGACCTATCAGCTATGTGACCTTAGACAAATGACTTCCCCTTTCTTGGCCTCTGTTTACTCATCTGTAAAATGAGGGTAATAATACTTGTGTTATCCACTGTACAAAGCTCTTGGGAAAAAGTTTTTATGAAACATAAAAGACTACAGAAATACTCATTTTTAATATTGTTAGGTTCCCTTTTCCTTTCTAGAATGGGTAAAGGAAATCAACCTGAGAAAAGTGAGGTTCCAGAAATATCTAAAGAATAAATAAAATTCTCACCTCTGATACCTTTCAGGAATGTTCAGCACGAATCCGAACATCATCTCTGCAATTTTATTTGAGCTGCAGGTTGGGGTCCTGTCTACCTCAACAGCCAGAGATAGCATCCTCTGGAGATGTAGAATTACCCTGGGTTCAAAGTACAGGGCAATTAGGAGACTAGGCTATTATAGTGGCAGGAACACTTAAGACGCAAACTCAGGGGCAGGTAGGGGGTGCAGTGGATAGAATGCTGGGCCTGAAGTCAGGAGGACCTGAATTCAAATCCAGACTCAGTCACTTACTAGCTGTGTGACCCTGAGCAAATCACTTAACCCCAATTCCCTCTTTTAAAAACAAGACACAAACTCAGATGAAAAGAATGAACCTAAAAGATCTACAAGCAAAGCCTCAAAGAAAAAGAGCTTGGACACAAAATCCACTAGAATTCCTAGAAACAATGAAATGAGTTAAAAAATGTTTTTATTTTTTAAGCATGCTAGAAGGAAATATCTTGGAAAAGAGAGAAGAGCTATGAAACAAAGAACTGGAAAGGGAATTAACAGATTGGCACGAGAGGCACAAAACCTTGCAGAAGCAACAAACTCCCTGAAAATTAGAATGGACCAAATAGAAGCCAATGACTCCACGAGACTGAGAAACATTAAAACAAAGTCTTTAAAAGACTTGAAAATTTATAATGACAACAATGAAAGGTTTCTCACAGCAAAAACAACTGACCTTGAAAAAAAAGATGGGGGAGAAAAAATCTAAGAATTACTGGACTACCAGAAAGCTATGGCAAAAAAAAGAAAGCCTAGACATCCTACTTAAAGAAATCTTAAAAGAAAACGTCCAGAATTTTTAGAACAAGGAGACAAAGTCAAATCCACTGGTCTCCTCCTGAAATGTCCCAAAAATGAAAACTCTCAGAAACACTATAACCAAAATCCAGAGCTTACATGGCAAAGAAAAAATATTCCAAGTGGCTAGAAAGGGAGAAATCAAGCATAGAGGAAACCAATTGCAATCACACATGATTTAGCAGCACCTACTATTAAGGAGCACAACTTGGAAGATGATATTCCAAAGGTAAATTATTGGCTTACAGCCAAGAATTAACCTATTCAGAAAAAACAGTATCATCACATGGGGAAAAATGGATTTTTAATGAAATAGAAGACTTCCAAGTATTCCTGATGAAAAGAACATAGCTGTGGAGAAACTGAAGTTCAAACACATGAGTAAAAAGACATAAAAGGTAAACACAAATGAACAATCATGAGGCACTAAACAAGGACAAACTGCATTCAAATATAGGGAGATGTCACTTCTGAACTCTATCATCAGTGGGGGTCAAAGAAAAAGTTTAATTAGACAAAACGTGGCTCTGTTATGTCCTGACGACCTTAAGAGAGGAAGGGAAAGGAAGGTTAGGGAAAATTATTTCACATAATCAGGATGGGAGAGTAGATTAAACTATACTAGACAAGGAGAAGGGGGTGAAGGTAGCAGCTGATATTCAAACCTCACTCATCTGCATTGGTGAAAAGACAGACAGACACACACACACACACACAAACACAAACACAGAGTTGGGTACAGAAATACATTTCACTCAGATGGGAGGGAAAGGTTAGAAATGGGAATTAGAAGGAGGGCACATTAAGGAAGGATAAGCAAAACAAATTACAAAAAATATAATTTTTGAGATGGCAAAAAATGAGAATCTGAGGAGTGCCCATCAATTAAGGAACTGCTAAACAAAGTATGGTATATAAATGTGATAAATACTGCTGGGCTGTAAGTAATCTGGGAATCTTGTATGAACTGAAGCAGAGTTAAGTGAACAGGACCAGGAGAACAATTAATACAATGACAACAATGCGGTACACACAACTTTGAGAGTATTGATTATCTGATCAAGTTAAGACCAATGATTGTAAAGGACTAATGATGAAACATGCTATCTACCTCCCGAAAGGTTAAAGACTCAAGAGTGAAGAATGAGACATTGTGTATGTGTATGTGTGTCATTCATTCTTTTGGAGGTGAGAGAAGAAGGAAAATTAATCAGAATGCTACTTATAGGCAAGCATGACTCAGCATAGTTCTCTCTACAAGTACATATGACGGTAGAGTGAAAGTAACACTAGACCTGACTATGAGAACTAGGTTTGGGTCCTAGTTCTAATACTTCCTGGCTCTGTGACCCTGAGCAAGTCACTGCAATTCTCTTAGCCTCAGTTTCTTCATTTGTACAATGAAGATAATATTGACATTACTTAGTACTACCTGATAAGGTTACTACTCTGAGGCAAGGACTCTGTAAACTTTCTTTTGTTTTTGTTTTTTTTTTTACTTTGTCAACTTTAAAGGAAATGTGAATTAGTTCAAGAATTGTTCAAGAGCTGGTAGCTGTAGCCCCTTTCTATTGCTCCCCAAAACCAGGCCTAACTTAACCACAGAACTGAAGCTAATTGTACCACAATTAGCCACAATCCCACCTGGATCATAGATTTTAGATGGTCAGATTTTAGAGTAGGATGAAAACTTAGACATTACCTAGTAAATGCCCTTTATTTTACAGAGGAGACAGAGGCCTAGAGAGATAAAGTAACTTGCCCCATGTCACAGAGCTATTAAATAGCAGAGCTGGATTTTGAATTTAGGTTTTATGACTCCATTTCCAATGGTCTTTTCACCATCCCACGCCACCTCACTGAGAACAAATTGTGCTTCCTGCTCCAGTCTTGTGGAATAGAGACACACTCTAAGAACTTCAGTCACTGAGATGATTTAGATAATTTAAAGGGTCATTAAAAAAAAAAAACTTCATCAGTTTTCTAGTGTGAGAGAAAGCAGATGCTTTCAGCAATACCTCCCTACTGCCCCAGGAAAGGTGGTGCCTTTCTTTCCCTTACAATTGGCTTCCTAAAAAGGTTTGTTGATGGCCTTCATTGTGATCTAATCCATCCGAAGTCACAGCTCCAACCAGCCACTGGATGATGTCCCTGCAATGGAAAGAAAAGCAGTCATTTAGCAAATGATACGGCTTCTTATTGGGTTTGCTAATAATCTCATTGTCAGTTAGTTTCAAAATAAACACATTGTGAGGACGTTGTACTTAAGAGTCAGAAGACCTGAGTTTGAATTCTCCCTCTATCACTTAATTGTTGTGTAACCTTAGGTAAGTTATTTCACCCTGGAGGATAAAACAGGAGTCACAGAATTCCTGAATTGGAAGAGGTATCAAAGACCACCTGAGTTTAGTTAGTTCTTGACCAAGGATCCCTTCTACGACATCCCCAGTGATTCATCTTCTCCCTGAAGTGAGGTAACCTTCCAGAGGCAGCCTATTCTATTTTTGAACTGCTCTCATTCTCAAGGAAAAAGGGACATTGTGTGTGTGTGTTTGGGTGGGGGGGTATCCCAGGAACTGAGGACCAATTTAGTTTTGCTACACAGTTTTGCCTAGGACCACTCCAGACATCATTCAACAAAGCTAATATTATGCTTATTAAGCATGGTGTAAAACACTGGTGTCAAAATCAAATAAAAACAGGTCCCAGAGTCACTTACTGACTTAGAAAACCCAAAATTTAAATTATGTATGTTATACTGTATTTTTTTTTGTTTTGTTAAACAATTACATTTAAATCTGGTTTGGAAAACCTAGGTTCTACACCTGCTTCCAACACATACTAGCTGGCAAGTCATTTTGTGCCTCAGTTCCAAAGGCAGCTCTCTAAGGCTGTAAATTGGAGAATGGCTGCCAACTGCTAGAGGGGTTTCCTCAATGAGAGTTACCTATGCTAATGAAATTGCAGGTTAAAACAAAACAAAACAAAAAAAGTAGCTGCTAGAGAGCTTGTAGAGACTCAAAGATAAATAAGGCACGTTTTCCCTTGTACTCAAAGACCTCATACATCAATGAATGGATGCCTTTATTAAATGCCTAGTGTATGAGGCACTTGAAGATCTCTACGTGAGGAGGTCCCCGAGCAATCTAGAGGCAACCCATTGCTGGAAAGCTCTCAAGTTAGAAATACTGAAAGAGGAGAGGACAAGAAGGGAGGCTGAAATGTAGTTTGATATATAATTTTGTATGGATATAGATCCCAACTTTAGTATAAAATAAGAAAATTATATGTGAAGTAGTAGCGAAAGATCACTGGGCTCAAGAATCAGGAGACATGTTTGAATCACAGCTCTGCCATCTAACTTTGGGTAATTCAATTTCCTAAGCCTATTTCTTTATCTAAAAAATGTTACCATACTGTATATAGTAAAGTACACTAAATATAGGAACTATTGTTATTAATATTACTATTATTCTAAGAACATGAAAAACTGATCAGATTGTCAATGTTATTAAACAGCAGCACTGCATGCTACTAACCTTGTAGTCAGGAGAAAGCTGGGTTAAAATCCTGCCTCTGATACTTGCAAGGTATATAGATCGTGAGCCTCAGTTTCCTCATCCATAAAATGGGGATAATACCACCTCTCAGTACTAACTTACCTCATACACTTGTGAGCGTTAAGTAAGATAATGTATGCAAAGTGTTTTGCAAACCTTAAAGTATATAAATGTCAGCTATTTTACAAAATTAGTCACTAGCATTAGTCATTTGTGAGAGAGAAATGGCACAGCATAGAAGACTATTCATTAAGCTGTGAAAAATTAAGAACTGAGGTGGGATGGTAGTGAAATGGCAAAACATAAGGAAACTAAAGCTCAAAGAAGCGAACTGTTCATGGTCAAACAACTGAGTAGGTGAAAAAGCCAAGATTCATACCCAGGTCCCCTTCCCATTCCAGGAACTCTTTTCATTACACTAGAATTAGACTTGGAGTGGGACCAAAAGACCTCCAAGGTCCCTTCTAACTCTGAAACTTTATACTATTTATTTTTAAATTAAATATAAGGACAGACTTTTTGCCAAACAGCTGCCAAACAATGGAATAAGGGGCCTTATGAGGCAGTGAGTTTTTCATCCCTAAAGTGTTAAAGTGGAGTCTAGATAATTATCTGTGCAGGATATTTTAGAGGGAATATACTGAGTATCAGTTTGGACTAAATGACTTTTAAGTCTTTTCCAACTCTGAGATACCCAGATTTCCCAGAATAAGGGAAACCTTATTTGTACAGGTTACCAAAAGAAGTTTGGATACATGGTGCAAGACTGTATTTATATATGGTATACATATGTATACACACACATGTGTATATGTACATATATGTAGATGTGTATAATGGGTATGCATTTTATGTGTGTATATATGTACATGTGTATAATTTTACTAGTAGTTGATGACATACTATATATATATATATATAATGCCATATATACATATATATAGTATGCCATCAGCTTCTAGTAAAATTATTTTCTGATATGTGCTAACTTCCAGATCCTAATCTCTCTTTAGTCTTGCTAGAACACTTTAGGGAACACATGTGAAGATCTATTAATGCCATGGATGTCACAAACCACTGGCATAGTCCTGACTATAAGACAATGATTTCCCCTTAGTCCAGACTGCTACTTTTAATCCTAGCATTCACAGCCCTTCAAAATCTACTCTCCATCCCCGAACATGCCTGTATCTTTCTCACCTATTTGCCTTTACTCATGCCAATCCCTGCAATTGGAAATGACAGGATTTAGCAAATAAAATTGTACACCTTTTGAAGTTGAGAACTGTACTAAGCACTAAGGGTGGGGAAGATACAATAGAAATAAGACATGATTACTACTCACATATAAGTTTATCTAGCGGGTGAGCAGATGTAAACAAAAGAATATAGAATGATATTTAATATGTTCCTGAGAGCACATTTCCTTCTACAACACCCAAAGAATGAACTTACAAAGACTCAAATTGGTCTTGTTGCTACTAAACACTGCTGTTGAAGTTAAGTGAAATTGTTGTTTTGATCTCTTACATGAAGGTCCTAGAAGTTCCAGGCCTCAGAGCTTTTATAGAAAGCTATAGAAATTCTACAGAAAGACTGCCTGTTATACTCTTAACTTTCCTCCGGTTTATCCAGTAAGCTATGTGGGATCTGCTGCATGGGATCCTGTCTTCTTAACTCCACTTTTTAGTACCGATCATATCCTGAGACCATATCCTGGAAAAGAACTAGTTTTTCTTAGGTTATTCACATCTGCAAAGGGGACAGAAGCAGATCTGACTGTGTGATTCAACAACTATGGTTTTACTCTGAACATCTCTAGAATGAATTCCCTCTGTGCAAAATTGGCTCCATGAATTCAGAGGCCTACACAAATTAAGTTCCCTCTCAGTGGCTGCTCTCCTCTAGTCTGTCTCCTATCCTCCTAATCCACAGTGCAGCTAATTACCTGATGTTATGGGGCTGCTTATCACAGGAAAGCATAGTACATGCAATGGATCGTTGCAGGTGATGCCGCTGATGCCTCAGGACCTGCTGAAAATCATCTTCCAGGGTCTGCACTACATAGCGTAAAAAGAATATTCGGCCAGGCAGCTCTTCTTCCTGTGGGGAAAGCATGTGGTGACCTTGTGGGAAGAGAGCTATTCCTTGCTTATCAGATGAAAAGAATGAATCATGAACCAGGGCTCCCCACTGGCCTCCAAGCTGTCTACGGTCAGATAAGGTAGTAGTAGACCAAAGTAGTCGTAGTAGACCAAAGAGGACATCACCAGCTAAACCACACATGTGGCAGGGCCATGCCCTAGTTGAGCAGAATCTGTGGGCCCTGTGATTTTATTGGTATGGGGAACTTCTAGTGAGGGACTTTATCCACCAATGCAGACTGACAGCTTATAGACTTGGGGGCACTCATAAATGATTTGGCCAGGGTTATAAGAGCTACTATGTGGCAAAAGTAGGATCTGAACCCAATTCTTCCTGACTGAGGACAATTCTTTATCAGCTAGGGCCTTATTTTCAAAAAGAGGAAGAGGGGAAGCTAGGTGGCACAGTGGATATAGCACCGGCCCTGAAATCAGGAGGACCTGAGTTCAAATCTGGCCTGAGACCAAACACTTGACACCTAACTAGCTGTGTGACCCTGCGCAAGTCACTTAACCCCAACTGCCTAAAAATAAAAAAAATAAAAAATTTTAAAAAAGAGGAAGAAAAAATAAAAAAGCTCAACTTACTTTATTTTTAAAAAGTCTCTAATTTCAATTCTAAACACTCCCTCCTGCACTATAGATCACAAAACCTCCATAGTTTCTTGAGTTGCTGCAGTCAAAAAAAATCCATCACTTGGTAATGTATCTTTTTTCAGTTAGCTAGTGTTAACTTTACTCAAACCAGTCTCTTTCTGCACTTATACCTGAAGCCTTCCTGCCTTGACAGAAGGGCCAAAACTCTGCCACTGACATAACTTTGGAGAGGTTGGGGGTAGTCATATCATGAGATGGCACCAGAGAAGAACTTTATTAAAGAGACCAGTGAGACTATTGTTAATGGCCTCCTATTCTTTAAAGCCTCAGAAACCACTTTCTTGGTTCCAGCTTCCCTCAGCTCAACTGTTCCTTCCTTTCATCTTTCTTCCTACCACTCAGGGACAAACCTTTTATTACAGTGCTTGAGAGCTAAATTCTTTCTAGTGCTATTACTAAGTTTTGGGCTCCACACCAGAACATATCCATGGGAAAGGTAAACAATGGTGTGGAACTTGGGCAGATTCACCAGGGTGTGACTGTGCCCCCTTGTAAATGGCAAGGTGTTCTAGTGGGCCACCTTGTTTTCAAACCTGGAGGATATTATCCTCCTTATTCAAGGACTTTGGATTCACTGGCCTCCTGATTTGGGAGTCAACGTACTCAGTGCTAAACCCCAACGTCCACAAAGGACAACATGGACCAGAGCCCACAGGCCACAAGAAATAACTTATAAGTTCTCTTCCAGCTCTGAGATTCTGTGATTCATTTCATGGCTCAGTAGAAGCCTAATAAAGAAATTTAGGGATCAGGGAATTGTCTAACCAGGCTAAAACGAAAAAAAAAAAAAAACAAACAAACCCACATAGGATGTTAGAGTCAAAAGGAAGCTTAGATGTCACATTAGTCCCATACCCTCATTTTGTAGAAAAGGGAACTAAGGTCTAGTGAGATTAAATGACCTAAGGTCACACAGCTAATAAGTGGCAGAGGTAGGACTTGAACCCAGGTCCTCTAAGTCATATACTCTTTGTACAAAGATACTTCCACACAAGTTGCCACATACCTGTTTTTCCATCACGTAAGTGAGTAGCTTCCAGTCCCACTGCACAGAGGCAACATTGGCTGGATGTAGCCTAAAAATCACAAGTTATGTTCATTAGAGTTCTGGAGAACTTCTTTGACAGAAGAGGCCTAGAAGATAACGTGAGGAAAGGATCAGCTTCTCTACTTATTCTTAGGGCTCTCCCATTAACCTCCAATAAATACTTTCCATCTTGTTTCCCCAACTTTTACCCTACCTGGATCTAAAAGCACATCTCTATTTATGCTAACTATTTGGATGGTTGTATCAACAAACTCTGTGGAAAGCCAAGTACCAAATTTTGGGCCCCCCGGAAAATATGTTAAAATAATCTGCAAAAGTTCCTACTGTTGAATTTTCATTAGAAGCATGTAGGCCTCTTTCACAATAGCCATACTTCCAGAACCTAGTAGGATATTCTTGATGACATGGGATACAATCTCCTTGGGTGGATAATGTTGGGGGGACACAAAATCCATGAGGAATTGCAAAGTCTCTTGTGGGACGTTCTCTTCAATGGTGCTGAATACCATTCGCAGTCTTCGTTGGGGAATGGGTTCTTTCTTTTGTTCCTTGTTCTGTAGAGATAATGGAAAATGTTAGTGTGAGTGGTTTCCTGGGCAAACAAAAACTACAGGGTCAGGACATTCTCAAGAAAGTAAAGGTTTAAAAGAGTTATCTTCCAATAGACTTCCAATAAACTCAAAACCATACAGTTTATACAACCTACAGGAAAACTGACAGTAGAGGAGTAATTAAGGTTTGATGAATGTTCAGCAGGTTCTATGTTTCTAGCCCGCTAAGACCTCCTATTAAGCATTAAGGGAAGGGAGGAAATAAGCATTTATTAAGTATCTACTATGTGCTAGGTGCTTTACAAATATTATCTCATTTGACTCAAGGGGGATATATATTGACTGAGGATTCAAGTTTTTAAAAATGTATTTTTCTATAAGAACATATAATTTACAAAGTGCTTTCTGAAACACTACCCTGAGAAGTAGGTTGTGTAAGTATCTTTATCCCATTCTGTAGATGAAGAAACTTAAACTGGGGGGAACTGGTAGCAGGGGAGAGAGTTGATGGGTGGTGAATGATGAAAATAAAAAAAGAGAAGCACTGCTAAAACATTAAAAACAGAAAATAAATGGGAAAAATCTTATATCAACATTCCCTGATAAGGTTTGCTAAGTAAATTATATAAGCAACCAACAGATTATCTATATAAAGACCAAAAGCTATTCCCCAAAATTTATTGATAAATGGTCAAAGGATATGAAGAAACAGGTTTTTTTTTAAATTGCAAACTATTAGGAACCACATAAGAGAATACTCCCAATCACTAATAGTAAGAGAAATGCAAATAAAAATAACACTGAGGTGTCACCTTGTACCTCCCAAAACATAGCAAAGATGGTAAGAGATTGAAATAGTAAATGTTTGAGGGGTTGTGGGAAGATAGGCACACAGTTCAATCATTTTGGAAAACCATTTGGAATTAAGGAAGTCAGGGGGGAAAATGTATATCCTGTGACCCAGAGATTCCATTACCAGGCTTATATCCCAAGAAGGCCAGTGATAAGAAGAAAGTTCCCTGACATATTAAAATATTCATAGCAGCACTTTTTGTAGAACTGAAAAACAAAAAGAATTGAAAACAAAACATATGATCATCAATTGGGGAATGAATAAATCAATTGTGGCACATGAATGTAATGGAATATTACTGTGCTATAAGAAATGACAAATATGACAAATATAGAGAAGCAGGGAAAGATCTACATGAACAGATATGGTTGTAGAAAATGTGGTTGGGAATGTTGCTTCTGCATATCACTCTTCAGAGTGTGGACCCCTGAAAAGTAGCTGCTGGGGTATTGACAAGGAAATGGAGTGGGAGATGTAATTAGAAGCAGAGACTCACGTAGCGAAATTAGGTGCTCCAGATAGGCTGTAAACCCTGCATTACCCAGCCAATGGAGAAACAAGAGAGGGAACTGTGTTTCAGGCCTAGGAATAAAAAGCTTTATTCTCCCTTCGGTAAGGTGTGCCCACACATGGGACACACATGGGATTAATGGGTCTTGCTAGGCCGTTAGTAAAAAGTTTTTTTTTTTTTTTCTGGTTCACCAATGGCTTCTTGGAACTTTTGTTGCTTACATGACAAAGCAAACAGAGCCAAGAAAACAACATATACGATGACAATAATGTAAATGGATAGACACCCTGTCCCCCCCACAAAAAAAAATCAAAAGTGAATGGTGCAGAACAAGGATGGTTCAAAAGAAGAGATATGAGAAGATAACCCCACCCCACCCCACCCCTTCCATATAGCTGAGAGGTCTATAAGTTTAGGTACAATGAACATATTCTCAGACTTTTTTGGTGTACTGATGAGTTAGACTGATTTTTCCCTTTTTCTTTGGCTTTAAAAATATTGTTATATGGAATGGCTCTCTGAGAAGGGAACAGAAGGAATACTAAGGGAAATTATAGTAATGCAAAAAAAAAAATGACATCAACGAACACTTACTTTAAAAATAAACAGAAAGGGGAAGAGATAAGTAAGACAGTTTTGTTACTGTTGTGTTAAACTCAGTACACACTAAAAAACCTTACAACAGGTTTCACATACAATCAAAGTTTCACATATAATCCTCTATTTCTGTTCTTTGATAAAAATGTTTTAATTAAAATGTTCATATTTGATTAAGTTCACAATAAAACAATTAAAAAACAAAATAAGAGAAAACTTGGAGAAGTACCTAGCCTAGAGTCACATAGCTACTCAGTGTGCTAGAAATCAAACCCAGGTCTCTGTCCCCAAGCTTAGTGTTCTTTTTAACATACTAAGTAGAGATCAGTCAGTCACCAAACATCTACTAAGCACGTAGGTCCCAGGCACTGTGAACAAAAAATGAAATAATACCTGCCGTCAAAGAGTTCTATTTCATCGGTATAGGGTACTGGATTATACTGTCAATCAAGAGACACAGGTGGAAGTCTTGCTCTGCTTCTGATTTCTGGCATAGCCCTGGACAAGTCACTAAGTCTTCTCTCTGCACTCATTTCCCATCCATAAATGGAAGTAATTGTTTACAACATGCTGTGATATCTCTATACTAAAGCTAAAGGTGAATAAGAAAAAAATCAATAGAAATTATTCAAAGCTTAAGGGAAAAATTAAAAGAGGACCAGAAAAGATTAATAATAGCAAATGTTTATATGACACAAATATTTACAATTTACAAAGACTTTTTTTTTATAGTAACCTTCTAAGGGAAATGATAATAGGCTCACAGATTGAGAGCTAGGACTTCAGAGGCCATCTAGTGCAGCCCTTCCATTTATTGGGGCCCAGAGAAAGCGAAGTGGCTTGCCCAAAGCACCAAAATTCAAATTTGAACCCAGGTCTTTTGATTTCAGAGCCAATGCTCTTCCCATTGTACCATATAAACTATATAACAGGCTCATAAAAATACCACAGATACTTGCCCTAGGGACACAGCTATTGAATCATAAGGTCATGACCCAAATTCAAGTATTTTAATGCTACAGCCAATGTTGTTTCCCCCATACTGGAGTGCTTTTCTTATGTTCACATTCGCTGACCGAACAGAACTCTTCTGAGACAAGAGACAAGAGTCAAAAGAAGGAAACATCCTTGGCTTATTAAAAAACCAAATCCAGGCAGAGCCCATTCATTATCCTCCTAAGATTTATTGAAGCAATAGGACCCAAAGTTAAAAAAGAGCTGAGGTGATAAGTATCATCAGAGAAGCTGTGAGTCCTCCTCCTACAAAGTTATGATCCTTTAATAATGTAGAATGTAGTCTCTCTGAGAGCAAAGACCACTTTCTATTTTGGCTTTGTATCTCTATTGCCTAGAATAATGCCTGGCACATAAGTGCTTAACAAATGCTTGCAAGATTTGAAGATCTTGGAGGGCAGAGCCAAGATGGCAGAGTAAAAGCAGTGACCTGCTTGAGCTCTCCCCCAAACTCCTTCAAATACCTATAAAAAATGGGTCTAAACAAATTCTAAATCAGCAGAAGTCACAAAAAGACAGAGTGAAACAAATTTCCAGCCAAAGACAGCTTGAATAATTGATCAGAAAGGTATATTGCGCCGGGTGGGGAGAGGAACCCAGTTCAGCATGGGTGCGCAGGCTGTAGCAAACCTGGAACAGGCCTCAGAGGACTGAACTGAGGGCAGCTGTGGCGGTTTCCAGACTTCTCAACCCACGAACACCAAAGACAACTTAGAAGGTCAGTGGGAAAGTCTGTGACTGTGGTGAGAGAGAAGCTAGGTCTCAGCAGCAAGTCCGGAGCACCAGCCTCAGCTGCCTCCTGAGCTTCTGGCCCATAGACTGAGGGGGAATCGAGTGGCTGATCAGAGGGTGATTGCAGGGATCTCTTTGCCTGTGCTGAGGCAGGAATTTCTTGCTTTGCCCGTGCTTGGATCTGGGTCGCAGTTCTGGGTGGTGGTCCAGGGACGAGGAGGAGCGCTGGTGTGGTGGAGCTTGTAGTGGCTGTGGAAAGGAAACCCTCCTCACAGTTCCAAGACAGAAAAGAGTACTCATAGACCAGATCACAGTCCAAGAAAGGAGCAAACACCTCACCCGTGATCATAGCACCTTGGAAGAACTGAAAATTTACAGGTTCCTAGAAGTATCTCTGAAAACAGCTGCACAAAACCCCTGAAGCTTGGGATAGCACATTCTCCACACTGGAAACAGACTCCTACCTTGACAAAGAGTTTACAACTCAAGTAATTGGCTGAGATCATGAGCAAGCAGCACAAAAAGAGTCAAACTATATTATCTTACTTTGGTGGCAAAGAAGATCAAAACACACAACCAGAAGAAGACAATGAAGCCAAAGCTCCTACATCCAAAGCCTCCAAGAAAAATATGAATTGGTCCCAGGCCATGGAAGAGCTCAAAAAGGATTTTGAGAAGCAAGTAAGAGAAGTAGAGGAAAAACTGAGAGTGATGCTATAGGAGACTCAAAAAAATACTGAAGAAAATAACAACTTAAAAAATAGCCTAACCCAAATGGCAAAAGTGGTCCAAAAAGCTGATGAGGAGAAGAATGCCCTAAAAAGCAAAACTAGCCAAATGGAAAAGGAAGTCCAAAAGCTTACTGAAAAAAATATTTCCTTAAAAATTAGAATGGAGAAATTGGAAGATAGGGACAATTTGAGAAATCAAGGCACTGTAACACTAATCAAAAGGAATGAAAAAATAGAAGAGAATGTGAAATATCTCATTGGAAAAACAACTGACCTGGAAAATAGATCCAGGAGAGAGGATTTAAAAATTATTGGACTATCTGAAAGCCATGATCAAAAAAAGAGCCTAGACATCATCTTTCAAGAAATTATCAAGGAAAACTGTCCTGATATTCTAGAACCAGAGGGCAAAATAGAAATTGAAAGAATCCACCAATCTCCTCCTGAAAGAGATCCCCAAAGGAAAACTCCTAGGAATATTGTAGCCACATTCCAGAGTTCCCAGGTCAAGGAGAAAATATCACAAGCAGCCAGAAAGAAACAATTCAAGTGTTGTGGAAACACAATCAGGATAACACAAGATTTAGCTGCTTCTACATTAAGGGTCCGGAGGGCATGGTGTGTGATATTCCCGAGGGCAAAGGAGATAGGACTACAACCTACAATCACCTACGCAGCAAAACTGAGTATAATCCTTCAGGGTAAAAAATGGTCATTCAATGAAATAGAGGACTTTCAAGCATTCCTGTGGAAAAGACCAGGGCTGAATAGAAAATCTGACCTTCAAATACAAGACTCAAGTGAAACATGGAAGAGGTAAACAGGAAAGAGAACTTATTAAGGTTGAACTGTTTACATTCCTGCAGGGAAAGATGATATTTGTAACTCATGAGTCCTTTGTCAGTATCAGGGCAGTGGGAGGGAAAAAAATTATATGTATATATAGATAGATAGACGGCACAGGGTGAGTGGAAGATGAAGGGGTGATATCTGGAAAATAAAATTAAGGGATGAGGGAGGATTACACTGGGAGAAGGAGAAATGGAGAATTTGAGGGAGGTAAAATATCTCACATGAAACATATAAGAAAAGGCTTTTACAGTGGAGGGGAAATGGGGGAAGGTGAGAGAGAATGAGTGAATCTTATTCTTATAGGATTTGGCTTAAGGAGGGAATAACATACACAATGGGGTACGGAAATCTATCTTACCCTACAGGAAAATAATGGGGGAAGGGGACAAGAGAGCAAGGGGTCGATAGAGGGGAGGGCGGATTGGGGGAGGGGATAATCAAAAACAAACACTTCTGAGGAGGGACAGGGTCAAAAAAGAGAATAGAATAAACGGGGGGTAGGATAGGATGAGGGGAAATATACTTAGTTTTTTACAACAGGACTACTATGGAAGTGTTCAGCATGACTACACATCTATAACATGTATCAAGATGCATGCCTTTTCAACGAGGGCAGGTAGGGAGGGAGGAAGGGAGAAAATTTGTAACCCAAAGTTTTAAAAACACATGTTAAAAATAAAAAAAAAGGTTTGAAGATCTTGAAGATTTTTTTGGAAGTCACTCTGTGGTAGCCATATTTTTGTTTCTCAGTGCTATCAAGCCTAAATTGCTAGAAACTTCAAAGTAATTTAAGAGTAAATCAAAGTAAGTCTCTTAAGGCACTTTAACTCCCTCTCTTCTCTGCATGGTACCTTCTGCTTCCCCATTAAAAGGTTGTTACTATTTGGTCTACCTTTACCAGCAGAGTGGAACTAATTAGCTGTGAAGGCCTAAGCAGCTAGTCTGCTCACAAAAGGTTACCTGCCTTTTTAAAATTTACCAAGTGCTTTCCTTACAATAACCTCTTAAGGTATCATCTCCATTTTACTGAGGTGGTAACTTATCGTCAGGTGATATGCCTTCACAGCCACTAAAATTTTCTCCTGAAAACTCATATTTTCCTTTAGGAGAGGTTAAAACAATAACAGTGATCTCTGTACAAACAGGAGGTGTATCAAGTTCCTGGAAAAAGGTACATCAAAAGATAGGAGGCTCATCTCTAATGGACAACATTGTTATTCCCATCCCCAAACTCACACTTCAGTTATGCTACCTATTACTTAGGCCATAGCCAACCACACCCAATTCTCCCTTTCTTCGTATTGATGGGCTCACACAGTGGTTCTACTGGTTGGAAGGGACAGCTGCACCATTACCTCTGTGACTTCTTTGTCCTGTACTAGTGCCTGGAAGAAGAAGTGATGCACTGGAGGTCTAAGGAAATATCTTAACCTGTGAAGACAGGGTTTCCTGGGTGAGTCCACCACTGCTGACGTCATTGCCACAGGCCCTGAGTTGGCAACTACTGGCATGAGCTTCTCTGCCTTGTCAGTCTCCAGGGCAGAAACCCAGGGAACCTGCTCCGTGGAGGAACAATGTGAAAGGAGCGAGAAGTCTTCCTGGAGCAGACTTGAGTTATCAGCAGAGTTATTCTTATTCTGCCAGTCACTAGGGCATGGATCAGGAAAGCCTTCCAGAAAACAGGGCACTGATGCATTTTGGCTACTGCTGTCACTGCTGCTGCTGTTTGGAGACAGTGAGAAAATATCTGTGGAGATCTGTAAACTTGCCAAAGAGCCCAGATCACTGTTGAAGGTAGTTGTACTACAGCTCTGCTCTGAGCTACACACAGGTTCCTCACCACTGGATACTGGAGAGAGGCAATCTCCAAATTCAGCGTCCTGAGCAGAAGTCAGATTGTCACACCCTTCCTTCTCCAAGAATTGAGAGTCTTCATCAGTCTGCTGTGCTACCTCACATTTGATGGGGCAGTTGGCACCTGCCACAGAATGGGAAGGCTTCTTTTGGGAACAAGAGATGGGGTCCAGATCTAGGTTCATACTGTTCTCACAAGCATAAGCAGAGTTAGAAAGATTCTTCTCCTCCTCCTCCTCCTCCACCTCTGTCAGATCTATCACCATGAGTCCATTGTGGGCCTTCACTATTGGGTCAGTGTCTTTGGTTAAGTCGATGAAATCCTGTTGGGGGAAGGTGAGGAAAATGAAATATTAGTTAAACTAATAATTCTAAACTTTCTTAGTGAAGAATACTAGAAAACATAGGGGTAGCGAGGTGGCGCAGTGGATAGAGCACTGACCCTGGAGTCAGGAGGACCTGAGTTCAAATCTGGCCTCAGACACATGACACTTACTAGCTGTGTGACCCTGGGCAAGTCACTTAACCCCCATTGCCTAGCCAAAAAAAAAAAAGAAAAGAAAAAAAGAATACTAGAAAAGTTCTTGGTCACTGTGGTGAATTCCTTTTGGAATAACACCTTGCACAGAATTATAAGGCATCTTTAGTCATCCTGATCTATATCTTGCCACTGGACCCAGATGACTCTGGAGGAGAAAGTGAGGCTGGTGACTTTGCACAGACCTCCCTCACTTAAATTTAATTCACTTGCAAGTCACAGCATCATCTTCCTGATGTCATGGTCCTCTTGGAGAATGAAGGACAAACAACAACAGCAGCAACAAGTCTTTTAAAAATGTTTGTTGAATTGAACTTTCCTCCTTCCCCCAGTAGAGAAATGATCCATTTGTGGATGTAATTCTACCAGTTGTATAAAATATTAAAACACTGCAAAACTCTTGGAAGAAAGAGATACATACTCAAGAGTTTGACCTAATAATGAACCACACCGGAATAACTAAGTAGATGAAGAATATCAATTGCCTAGATTAATGAAAAAAGTAGGAATGGATGAGTTGTGCCTAGAATTAAACATGATGAAAACAGGACAGATTACCTTCAGAAATTACAAAGTCAAAAAACGTTAACAAAATTCATTTGGAGGAACAAAGGTCAAGAATTTCAAAGGAACTAATGAGAAAATGTGAAGGAAGGACATTCAAACCTTAAACTACAAGGCAGTATATACCAAAACTATCTGGAACCATCTAAAACAAGGGTGGGGAACCTACAGCCTTGAGGCCACATGTGGCCTTCTAGGTCCTTGGGTTTGGCCTTTTGACCTACTCCAGGTTTTACAGAACAAATCCTTTCATTAAGGGGATTTGTTCGGTGAAGTTTAGATTCAGTCAAAGGGCTACACTTGAGGACCTAGAGGACCACATGTGGCCTCAAGGCCGAAGGTTCCCCGCGCCTGGATAGAAAGGTAGGTCAATGGAACAGAGTAGACACACAATACACAGCAGAAAAGGACTACAGCAACCTTGTGTTTGACAAATGTAAAGATGTAAGTTTTGGGGATAAGATTTCATTATTTGGTAAAAATTGTGGGAAAGCTGAAAAGCAGTCTTGTAGAAATTAGGCATAGACCAGCATCTTAAACCATGTACCAAGATAAATTCAAAATGGATACATGACCTAGATATTAAGAGAGATATCACCTATGAATGGACAGGAGAATAACTTATGAACAAATAAGAGATAAAGAATATTGTGAGGTATAAAATGGATAATTTCTGATTATATTAGATTTAAAAGTTCTTGTACAAATAAAACCTACAGAGCCAAGATTAGAAGGAAAGCAGAAAATTGGGGGAAAAGTTTCATAAATATTCTCTCAGATAAAGGTCCCATTTCTCAATATATAAAGAACTTTATCAAATATATAAGAATACAAGTGATCCCCAACTGATAAATGGTCAAAGGATATGAAAAGGCAGTTTTTCAATGAAGAAATCAAAACTATATATAGTCATATGAAAAAATACTCTAAATCATTATTGATGAGAGAAATGTCAATTAAAACAACTTTGAGATTTCGTCTTATACCTATCAGACTGGCTAAAATGATAGATGCCCTTCAACTGGGGAATGGCTAAACAAGTTGTAGTATATGACTATGATGGAATACTACTGTGATACAAGAAATGATGAGTTGGATTTTAGAAAAACATGGAAATACTTGGGCCTATGAAGAAAGATGCTATCTACCTCCAGGGAAGGAACAGACAAATGGAAATATATATAGTATGGTCTTACATATATGTATGTGTGTATACATATATATGTGTGCATATGTATGTATGTGTGTATTCATATTTAATTGTAGCTTCTCTAGGACAGGATGGGGTGGGGAGGAAGGGAGGAAAAAAAAATAAAATTGAGGAAAAAAAGGAATTATAAAGTTCCTTTAATGACTCTAAACTTCTACAAATTCCTATTATTATTAATACCAATATACTAACAGTGTTATGTAGCTTTAAGACATGAAAGACAACATGGTCTTCAAAGAATTGAAAATCGTATCACAGAGAAAGCAAAGGAAGGGATATAGTAGGTGTTTCAAACAAATGAGGAACTTCAAAAAACAGGAGTTAAGGATATTATTAGGAAACTATATGATCAGATTAGAGGAGACCCGTAAAGTCCCCTCCCTCTGGCTCTGTCTATGATCTTAGGAGCACTAGAAAGGAAATCATAATTTCATCAGGTCATAAAAAAAGCATAATGGACACAATAAAGAATTTGAAGGCAATAAAGTTATCAAAAACATGATAGGATAAAATTAAGAAGAGTTAAAGTACAATTAAGTAAACTTAAGACAAGATGATAACAAAACTTAACAGATTGGAAAACAGCCATGGAAAACACAAACAAAATGATTAGACTCAAAACAGATTTATTTAAATGGCAGACAGAATAGTAAAACAGAAAAACCAGAAAAGCAACCCAGGAAATCACACAACTGGAAAACATTTAGTATTTATGTAGGTAAAACTAACAAATTTGGCAAGTTAAAAAAAAAAAAAAAAAGAAAGAAAATTTAACTTCTAAGTTTCATGAAAAATTAAAAAAAGAATATGACAATTATACTTCAGAAAATCATCTAGCAGGGCAGCGAGGTGGTGCAGTGGACAGAACCACTTGCCCCAGAGTCAGGAGGACCCCTAGTTTAAATCCAGCCTTCAGACACTTAACAGCTTGACTGACCCTGGGGAAGCTACTTAAGCCTGACTGCCTCCAGAAAAAAAATCATCTAGGAAAATTTCCCAGAGATACTGAAAAAAGGGAAGGATTATAAATAAACATAATTTGCAAGAAACTTCAAATTCACCTCACCTAGATACATCAATGTCAATCTTCAAAACTTCCATCACTGGGAGATGATTTTATAAGCAGGGAAGGAGAAATGTATAACATAAAATACAAGAAGAAAACTATCAATTTGAATTACATAAGATTTTAAAAATAAAAATGACAGAACCTGGAACATGATATACTGAAAGATACAGTACTGAAGAAAAGGTTAATTGGTATATTTAAGCATTTTTTTTTAAATATAAAAGATAGTCATTTAAGAATTTGAGTCTGAAAAAGTTATGGTGGCAAAAGAAAACTCTAAAACAGCCTTTACCATGCATAATCAAAAACAACACAGAGAATGAGATGAATCTCTTTTTTTCTCTACATTTTTATACAGGTGGAACACTAAATGATTCCTTCACTTCAGCTCCTTCACAGCCAAACTAGGAGGCAGGGACTGTTTAAGTTTCTCTGCCTTCTCTTTGTCTGTGATGACCAGTGTGTACAGGTGTCTGCTGCAGCAAACTTTAAACTTCACATTGTCCTTGTTTTTCTTGATCTTGACAGATTTGGCATCTTTTCGCCTGGCTGTCAGCAGGAAGCCTTTTATTTCCTCGATTTTTCAGGGCATGGCAGCAGCGGCAGCGGGACAAGGGGCAGCGTGTGGCCCGAGAGGTCGGCTACGGGAGAGATACTCACAACTGCCTGAGATGAATCTTTAAAACACATACTATATATATGTTTTAAATCAGCAAAAGTCCACCTTCTTTCCTTCCTACTCCAACCCTACTTCCTCCCCTAATCCCCTAGGCAATTGAGAATGAAAGAATGCCAAAATCCCTGTTATAAACATGTTTAGTTAAGCGAAACAAATGTCCAAGCAAAATATGTCTCATTCTCCACTCTGAATTCTTCCCCTCTGTATGAGGAGATGGGTAGCATGTTTCTTCATTGGTCTTCTATAACAACCTTGCTTGGTCATTATGCTGATCAGAGTTCCTAATTTTTTTTTTTAGGCAATTGGGGTTAAGGGACTTGCCCAGGGTCACACAGCTAGTAAGTGTGAAGTGTTTGGTCTGAGGCCGGATTTGAACTCAGGTACTCCTGACTTCAGGGCCAGTGCTCTATCCACTGCCCCACCTAGCTGCCCTCAGAGTTCTTAATTTTTTCAAAGTTGTTTGTCTTTACCACGTTGCTGTCACAGTATATATTGTTTTCCTGGTTCTATTCACTTCACTGCATCAGTTCTTTGCTTCACTCTGTATCAGTTCATATAAGTCTTCCCAGGTTTCTCTAAAACCATTCTCTTCATCATTTCTTACAGTACAATAGTATTCTATCACACTTATATACCATATTTTGGCAACTCCCCAGCTGATGGGCACTCCCTCAGATTCCCATTTTTTGCTGTGACAAAAAAAAAAGTCATAATTATTTTTTAGATCCTTAGAGTTTATTTTGCTTAGGATTAATCCTGCTCTTAATCTGCCTTCCCTCTAATTCACCCTTCTACCTTTTCCCTCCTATTTCCCTATTGAGTGAAATGAATTTCTGTATCTAACTCTGTGTGTGTGTTTCCTTCTTTTCACTAGCTCAAATGAGAGTGAGGTTCAAGACATCATCTAATCCAATGAGTAGCAGGACTGGGCAGAATTGCCCTCTGTAATATACCTAGCAAGAAGTCTTCCAACTGTCTCCTGAAGCCATCCAGTAAGAAGAATTATTGCCTTAAAAAGTAGCTCATTTAAGTTTCAGACAACTCAACTTCTGGAAATTATTCCTTCTATGAACTTGGAATTTACTAACTTTGGATATGCTGAATTTGAAATATCTATAAGTCATGTAGTTAGAAATGACCAATAGGCAGTTGTTGATCCTGCAGCTCAAGAGAGGAACTATGGCAAGATATGCTGATCTAAGGGCCATATGCATAAAGAAGATAATTAAAACTACCTAATAGGGTCACCAGAAGAGAAAGTATGGAGAAGGCCCCAGATAAAGACTTAGGGCAAATCAGTTTAATGGGGATGTGTGTGTATGTGAGATAAGATGATGATCCAGAAAAGAAGGCTGAGAACAAAAAATGGCCAAACAGTTAAGGGGAGAATCAAGAGAGTATAATGTCATAAAAACATAGAGAGAAAGAAAACACACAGAAGTTGGTCAATAGTGCCAGATGCTACAGAGAAATCAAGAAGATTGAGAACTGAGAGAGGGTTAAGTTTAATATTTAAGAGATCATTGGAAGGGAGCAAGTTCAGGTGAGTTGATGGGGTTGGAAGCCAGTGTGCAAAGGGCTGAAAAGTAGGTGAATGGAAAGGAAGTGGAGACCAGCAAGTATATTCAACTTTTCCCATGAGTGTGATACAGAAAGGGAGGAGATAGATATAGGACAATAATTTGAGAGGACAATTAGGTCTAGTGGTATGTTTTAAGGATGACAGAAACTTGCCATACCAATCAAACTACAAAAAATTATTTTATAGAGCTAGAAAAAAATAACAAAATTCATCTGGAAGAACAAAAGGTCAAGAATGAATACTAAGGGAATGAATGAAAAAAAATGTGAAGGAAGGTGGCCTAGCCAGACCAGATCTCAAACTGTATTATAAAGTGGTAATCATCAAAACAATCTGGCTAAGACACAGGAGTAAATGACCATAGTAATCTAGTGTTTGAGAAACCCAAAGATCCAAGCTTATGGGACAAGAACTCACTATCTGACAAAAATTTCTGGGAAAACTGGAAAACAGTATGGCAGAAACTAGGCATAGACAAATATCTCATACTGCATACCAAGATAAGGTCAAAATGGGTACTAATCAGGAGAGCAAGAAAAAGTTTACCTGTCAGATCTATGGAGAAGGAAAGAATTTACGATCAAACAAGAGACAGAGAGCATTACAGGATGTAAAATAGATAATTTTGATTATATTAAATTTAAAAGGTTTTGCACAAATAAAACCAATGCAACCAAGATTAAAAAGAAAGCAGAAAGTTGGGGGGAAATTTTACAGCACGTATCTCTATTTCTCAAATATATAGAGAACTGAGTCAAATTCATGAGAATACAAGTCATTCCCCAATCAATAAATGGTCAAAGGACACGAACCGGAAATTTTCAGAAGAAATCAAAGCCATCTATAGCCATTTGAAAAAACACTGTAGGGACAGCTAGGTGGCGCAGTGTATTGAGCACTGGCCCTGAAGTCGGGAGGACCTGAGTTCAAATCTGACCGCAGACCAAACACTTCACACTTACTAGCTGTGTGACCCTGGGCAAGTCACTTAATCCCAACTGCCTAAAAAAAAAAAAAAAAAGGAAAACGCTCTAAATCACTATTGATTAGAGAAATGCAAATTAAAACAACTCTGAGGTACCACCTTACATGGCTAATATGACAGAAAAAGAAAATGACAAATGTCAGAGAGGACACTAATGCACTGTTGTTGGGGTTGTTAACTGATTCAACCATTCTAAAGAGCAATTTGGAACTATGAACAAAGGGCTATAAAACCATGCATATCCTTTGATTCAGCAATATCACTACTAGGTCTTTATTCCAAAGAGAAACAAAAAAAGGGGGGGGAAGGACCTATTTGTACAAAAAATATAGCAGCTCTTTTTGTGGTGGTAAAGAATTGGAAATTGGAGGGATACCCATCAATTGGGGAAGGGCTGAAGTAGCTGTGGTATATAATTGTAAATGGAATACTATTGTCCTGTAAGAAATGACTAGCAAGCTGACTTCAGAAAAACCTACAAAGATTTACACAAACTGATGCAAAAAAGTGAAGTGAGCAGAACCAGAAGAACATTGTACACAGTAACAGCAATACTGCATGATGATCAACTGTGAATGAATTAGCTATTCTCAGCAATACAATGATCCAAGACATTTCAAAAGGACTCAAGATGAAAAATGCTATCTACATCTATAGAAAGAACTGATGGAGTCTGAATGCAGATTGAAGCATACTACTTTTCTCTTTCTTTTTTTTCATGTGATTATTTAGTCCAAACCCTTTCATTTTATAGATGATTAAAGTGTGGCCCAGAAAAGTTTCCACTATAGTATCATGTCCAAACCTATTAAACATAAAAATGTTGCTACTTTATTTTGATATTTTGCTCACTGAGATTTGACCTTGGAAATAGAAAAACTTGTCTGATCTTCCACAGGGGCCAAAAATCAGTCTTTTGGTTCATAAAAAAATTAGTTTGATTGACCAGTCCCTTTACTCTGACCTGTTACCCATAACCTGGTTTATTAAGCTTCCACGGTGTTTACCTAGACTGTTAAGTGTGGCAGTGAATAGAGTGCCCGGACTGGAGTTAGAAAGACCCGAGTTCAAATCTAGTCTCAAACACTTACTAACTGTGTGACACTGGGCAAATCACTTAACCCTATTTGCCTCAGTTTTCTCATCTGTAAAATGAGTTGGAGCAGGAAATGGTAAACCACTCCAGTTATCTTTGCCAAGAAAACCCCAAATGGGGTAATGAAGAGTCGGACACGACTGAAAACGACTAAACAACAACACGGTGTTTACCTACTTCACATAGCTAGATGAAGAAGTGATGCTGCTTAACACATCAGGCAGCTGAGTTTGGGAATGGGAGAGCAGAGTCTATGGTCCCGTTCTCTAGGGTTGATCCTTCATTTCTTCAGGAAGCCTCAAAGTTATGATGGGGAAAGGAAGGAGGAAGGGGGGTAGAGAAGGGGAAGAAGGGGGAGAGAAAAGAGAAAAAGAGGGGAGAGAAAAAGAGGAAGTAAGAAGGGGAGAAGAGGAAAAAAGAAGAAAGAGTAGGAGGGAGGGGGGAGGAGAAGCTGCCTCCCTGGCTCTCAAGGAGCATTGAGAGAGACAGTATCTGAACAAGATACACAAGATAAATGGAGGATGACAGAAGGAAGGCTCTAACAATGGGAGGAAAGGAGGAAAGGAGGAAAGGGAAGAGGGAGGGGGCAGGAGGAGGAGGAGGAGGAGGAGAGGGAGGAGGGGGGGAGGGGGAGGAGGGGGACGGAGGGGGTACGGACTCACCACCACAGTGTGCGAACTGCAGGCGGAGTCGGCTCCTCCGGTCCCGTGTCCGCTTCGGGTCCGGGTCCGCCGGGGACTGCTGGCTCGGCTAGCGCCGAGGATTCTGCCGGGACCGCGCGGCTCGTCATCGCTGTCATCCGAAATCACAATGGGCTCCGTCCTGAAATCGGCTTCTGAGAGGCTTCTAGAAGCTAGGTGCCCTGCTCCGGAGCGCCGCCGGCTGCGGCTGCGGCCGCGGCCATCCCAGCCCAGCCGAGGCCTCGCCCTCGCCTCAGCCCCTTCCCGCTCGTATCCCTGACTGAACTTGCGCTGCAGCGGGAGCCAGGGCCGAGGCCGGCGAGGCGGTGCGCGGTGCGCGCTCTGGAGTGGAGAGGGAGGCCGGGCTCGAGTCATGGGCCCTCGGGCAGGGCCTGGGCTCGTCCTGGGCCCCGAGGCCGGTGAGGAGACGGAGAGCACTCCCGGGGAGGGCGGGGCCCCTGGCGCCCGCGGACCCTCCCGGATCTGGGCTCCGCAGCTCCGGGGCTCCCGGGCTTCTCAGCAGGGGCGCTGGGGGCGGAGCCTGGGCACGCGCTCCGGCCGCGGCGGGAACGGAGGTGGGAGGGGAAGGCCGCGAAGCAGGCTGTCTTAGCTGGCGGGGCGGCGGCTCTCTATCTCTTCCCCCTCCACCTGTCAAGTAGACGAAAGGAGAGCTTTCTCAGTATAGTGTTTACTCGAATTGGGAAATGAAACCTACCTGGAAAGTGAAAGTGTGAAGGGGCCAAAGAGAACTTCGAGGTCCCGAGGGGCAGAAAGTTGTGCTTGTGCTGCCGCAGCCATCAAAGGTTCACTAAGCACCAGCTTGAAGCGCTTACTACCACGTGCAAGGCTGTGCCAAGCTGTCCAGCTAAAAAGGCAAAAATACCTCCCTAACCCTCCAGGAGCTCACAGTCCAATGGAGGGAGACAATGCTAACAAGAGATATACAGGATAAATTGAGGATAATAGAGGGAAGGCACTAGCACCAAGGCACTAGCAAAATGAAGCCATTCCTGCCCTTAAGGAACTCGTGTTCTATACAGAGAGACTATATGTACACATTAATCCATCATTTTTTTTTAACTCCAGTTGGCAAAAAGTTTATTGTTATGCTTTTCAGTGGGCAAGGATTCTTTTTTTTTTTAATAATTTTTAAAAAAATTTTTAACATGTGTTTTTAAAACTTTGGGTTACAGATTTTCTCCCCTCCTCCCTCCCCACCCACCCTCATTGAAAAGGCAAGCATCTCGATACTTATAGATGTGTAGTCATGCAAAACACTTCTGTAGTAATCCTGTTGTGAAAAACTTAGTATATTTCCCTTCATCCTTATCCTACCCCCCATTTATTCTAGTCTCTTTTTTGACCTTGTCCCTCCTCAGAAGTGTTTGTTTTTGATTATCCCCTCCCCCAATCTGCCCTCCCCTCTGTCAACCCCCTGCTCTCCCTTGCCCTTCCCCCCTTATTTTCCTGTAGGGTAAGATAGATTTCCATACCCCATTGTGTATATTCCCTCCTTAAGCCAAATCCTATAAGAATAAGATTCACTCATTCCCTCTCACCTTCCCTCATTTCCCCTCCACTGTAAAAGCCTTTTCTTATATGTTTCATGTGAGATATTTTACCTCCCTCTAATTCTCCCTTTCTCCTTCTCCCAGTATAATCCTCTCTCATCCCTTAATTTTATTTTTCAGATATCACCCATTCATTTTACACTCACCATGTTCCCTCTATCTATACATACATATAATTTTTTTCCCACTACTCTAATACTGACAAAAGACTCATGAGTTACAAATATCATCTTTCCCTGCAGGAATGTAAACAGTTCAACCTCTTATGATTTCTCTTTCCTGTTTACCTCTTCCATGTTTCACTTGAGTCTTGTATTTGAAGGTCAGATTTTCTATTCAGCTCTGGTCTTTTCCACAGGAATGACCATTTTTTTGCCCTGAAGGATTATACTCAGTTTTGCTGGGTAGGTGATTCTAGGTGGTAGTCCTATCGGACTACCCTTTGCCCTTGGGAATATCACACACCATGCCCTCCAGACCCTTAATGTAGAAGCTGTTAAATCTTGTGTTATCTTGATTGTGTTTCCACAACACTTGAATTGTTTCCTTATGGCTGCTTGCAATATTTTCTCCTTGACCTGGGGATTCTGGAATTTGGCTACAATATTCCTAGGAGTTTTCCTTTGGGGATCTCTTTCATGAGGTGATGGGTGGATTCTTTCAATTTCTATTTTGCCCTCTGGTTCTAGAATATCGGGGTAGTTTTCCTTGATAATTTCTTGAAAGATGATGTCTAGGCTCTTTTTTTTTTAATCATGGCTTTCAGATAGTACAATAATTTTTAAATTCTCTCTCCTGGATCTATTTTCCAGGTCAGTTGTTTTTCCAATGAGATATTTCACATTCTCTTCTATTTTTTCATTCCTTTTGATTAGTGTTACAGTGCCTTGATTTCTCAAATTGTCCCTATCTTCCAATTTCACCATTCTAACATACCTTTCCTATCAACCATCCAGGCTGTCTTGGGCTGGAAATTTGTTTCACTGTCTTTTTGTGGGTTCTGCTGCTTTAGAATTTGTTTAGAGCCATTTTTTATAGGTATTTTGAGGGGTTTGGGGGACATCTCAAGCAAGTCACTGCTTTTACTCTGACATTTTGGCTCTACCCCCCTCAGGCAAGCTAATCTATCAATTATTAAGCACCTATATATGATAGGCACTGTGCTAAGCACCGAGGATACAAAAAGAAGAGTCTTTGGCCTCAAAGAGCTTACTACCTAATGGGGAAGACGATATTTAAATAAATACATAGAAAGCAAGCTATATATAGACTAAATGGGAAATAATAGAGGAAAGGAGCTGGGGAAGGCTTCCAGTAAAGATGGAATTTTAGTTGGGAGGGAAGACAAAGAAGATAGGTCAATTGCTAGAGCAGAGGAGGGAAGAGAAAATGCTCGGAACTCAGGGATTGTCTTCTTCCAGGACAACAAACCAATGTCACTATGTGTGGGACAGAGACCACTACTCAAATTCAAAATAAAGACTTAGGTACCTTGAAAGCAGAAAGGAATTTATTGCTTTCTCATGAGAAAGCGCCCTAATGATGCTGGCCAGGGAGGACGAATATGGCACAAGTTGGTTACGGAAAGCAAGGCTTATTTATACCCTAACTTGAGTTCATTCTCCCTAACCCCCTTCCTATTATCCCATTGGCTGGGCTTCAGGGGGCACAATCTATTCACAGAAATGTTCCCTAGCAACATTACACAAGTTTTCCTGGAGACAAGAAAATTCGGGAAGTCTTACAGTTTAGATTGGAGGGGTAGGGCTATTCTATTCTTTCTGCTATGTGCTTAAAAACAGGGTCTGAGGAGTTTTGACAAGGTCAGAAGGGAGTGTGTTTCATCAATACAGTTAGAAGGCCATCTACAACAGTTGCCTCCAATTTCTGTCCTCCCACTCTTCTTACTATCTGGCTTCTGACCTTATGTCTCTTCAAATGACCAGTGATCTCCTAATTGCTGCCCTTTGTGAGAACTATTAACAAAAACTATTAACCCTTTGAGGAGGCTTCACTTCTGAGAGATCATTTCTCACAACTGGATCCAGGAATAGCGAGAAATTGAAAACTGATTTTAATTCTATTTTGTATATACTTTCTAACCAAAAAAAAAAAATCTAATTATATACTTTCTGTCCCATATGAGTTTAAACTTCTTTCTTGTGGGACTTCATTAGTATACGGAATTCCTAGATGAAGATACTCCTATCAATGTACCATTTTTTCAATGCCTGGGTCTAAACATATACCGAGATTTCCCACCCTTTGCCTTTTTATACAAAAAGTGTTTTATTCATCCTTTCCCTCATTTTGACAGACCACACTTCTGAAAGGCTGGCAGTTTCTGACCACTCCCAGCCCCCAAGGCATCTGGTGCTCATTAACCAGTTTGGGGTGGGTTTTTACCCCCTAAGCACAGAAGCCAACTTGAGTTAGACCCTCTCCAGGGAACACTTTTCTGTTTTCCTAACCAAAGTTAGGGGTGACCTGATCTACATGGAGGGAGACCAGATAGAACCTGATTGAGATGGTTTATGTTTTTCTAGCCAAGATTGCTAGAGGCAGCTAGGTCTCATAAAACAACTAGTATTCTTCAATTGTCAGAGAAGGATGTAATTGGCCACATCTGAAGGCCAGCTCACTTCCCTAGCTTCACATTAATCCTTTTTACCTGAGGATTAGTCTTGGGGAGGGTGGGCATGGAGTAATAGAGAGCTATTAACCCACTTCTCCATTAAATTGTTCACCAATGCTTTGCCTTTGCCAGGAGAAGTCCAAATGATACATTGTCAGGATAATCAGAAGGAAGATACACCTAGGTTTTTTTTTGTTTGTTTTTAGGCAGTTGGGGTTAAGTGATTTGCCCAGGGTCACATAAGTAGTAAGTGTCAACAGTTTGGTCTGAGGTCACATTTGAACTCAGGTCCTCTTAACTTCAGGGCCAGTGCTCTCTCCATTGCGCCACCTAGCTGCCCCTATGCCTAGGTTTATAAAGCCCTGTCAGCTCTTACTCAGGGTCTTTTGGCACAAATGAATGCACACCATAAGAAACCTTTACAAATGGGCTTGGCACCCTATTGTCAACAGGATTTTACTGAGCCAGTCTCTGACCTGAGAATGATGAAAACAGCAGGCCAGAGACAAAGTGCCAGTAATCAGGTAGCTGTTTTAATTAATTAGTTTCATTATCAGGAACCGATTTGCCTATCGGGAATTCTCCTGATCAGAATTCCACCTTGCTGGAGTGAAGACAGAGATTATATACATAAATCACAAGTGGGAAGGAAGGGGGGAAAGTGGATTGCAAACACTCATTCCCAGGGCCAGAGTGGTTTCCCACACGACAAACCCACAAATGGAAGACAATAAACAATTCTGCAGTCCTGTGGGAGCAATACTGCTCAAGTTCTTGAGGGCTGTTACTTAGTGGGTCACAGGACCAGAGTTCTATGACCGGAACAGGTTCTACTGATGGGGTTGAGAGCTAGACCCCAAAAAGGAAAAACCCTAGACTTTTCCACATGGCCAAATCTCTGGCGTTTGCCTGAGGCTATAATCCCATCAATTGGCCTTTCATTGTGGCTACACCCAATCTCCCAAATCTGTTATCCTTAATCTAGCCTAGCTCACCCTTGTTTTACCCTCCCTATGGCCCCGCCCTTAATCCTAGCTTGGCTCCATTGTCCCTTGGTCACATAGTCTAGGTCCCAGGAGTTCTGTTCACTCCAGTTTACTGGCCACTCCCATTGAGATCTTCCTTAGACCCCTCCTCCAGTCACCCCAAACTACTTGGCCACTCCTAGA